CAGGTTCCTCAAGAAACAACCTTCCACGGTGTGGGCAGCCTGGAAGTGATAACCGCCCTCATACCCGTAACAGCACGCGAGACCAAATTGGTCAAAATCAAATTCTTCCTACACCCCCTAATATCTCTCTTATCTCCTCGACTAACTCTCCTCACATTCATTTATCACAGTGCACAGCTAATGCAGACGACACGAGTTCGCGAAACGTCGTTCCTGGTTTCCTTAAACCCCGCTCTAGACTACATGTTGGAGCATTTAATGTACGGACATTGTGTCAAATAGGGCAACAAGCTTCATTAGCTAGGACTTTAGAATTTCGTGCCGTCGATGTATGCTGTGTCTCGGAAACGCGCATACAGGATCCTATTAAAATTATTATTCTGATTTCACCTTGTCAAAATAAAGAAGCAGCTCGATTTACCCATCGTGTATTTGGAAGCTCTGGTCTGCTTCCAGGGCTCTTGCTGGCGTAGGTATAGCATTGAGTCGTAGAGCTGAACAATCTCTCCTAGACTGGATCCCAGTAGATAGTCGCTTGTGCGCTGTCCGACTAAACGGGACAGTAAGGACACGGAAGGATAGGTACACTCACCGTATTCTCTTCATCGTATCTGCCTATGCCCCCGCTGACTGCAGTGCAGACGAGGTTAAAGATGAGTTTTACAGAAAGCTTTCGCACCTCCTCCAAAAAGATAGGCGCTCCGGTATAATAATAATGGCTGGTGACTTTAATGCTCAAGTAGGTAGACTAAGTGAGCAGGAGAGACACCTAGGTGGATGTTATGGTGTCGCGGCTCAGAGAACAGACAATGGTGACCATCTGCTGCAACTACGTTGAGATAGCCGCCTATTCTTAGCAAACACTAACTTCAGGCATAAGGAAAAGCATCTGTTGACCTGGCGACCTCCAAAGTCGTCTCAACGTTGGACTCAACTAGATCACATCGCCATCAGCCACCGATGGAGGGGTTCGATAGAAGACTGTCGCTCGTTCTGGGGCACATGTTCAGATTCAGATCATGCCCTAGTGCGAGCGCGTATTTGTTTGAAGCTTACTGGGCGTAGGAAAGACACCGTAAGTAAGCCTCCTAGGGCTTCACTTGATGATAGTAAAGCTAAGAAAATATTTTAGGAGGAACTAGAAAAACAGTTAGGCGACCATGCAAGTGATTCCCATCCGGAAGCAGGTCAGAATGATATCAGAAAGGCTGTGGAAACAGCAGTGATATCTGCTTGTAAGGTTGACCATAAGTCTAGAATGAAGCCATGGATCTCAGTAGTATCCACTGATCTGATGGATGCTCGAAAACGCATCCCACCTGACTCTGAATATGATGAAGAACGAAGTCAACTTAGGCGCATACTTATAAAAAGCCTACGTAACGATCGCGAACAGTGGTGGGTGGCGAAAGCAAAAGCGATGGAAAAGGCAGCAGCGATAGGCAACACTAGACAACTTTTCGGCCTTATTAAAGAAACCGGTATTAGGAACCCGAATGTGAGTGAGACTATCTCGGACAAGGATGGTCTTATTATCCACTCTCAGTACAGGATATTGGACTGATGGGCAGAACACTTTAAAAATCAGTTCAACTGGTTTTCAGCCACACTTCGGTTACCCAAGAACCCCAGTCATCCTGAATGGTCAATCGATTTAAGTCCTCCCAGACTACAGGAAGTTGAGAAAGCTGTAGGAAATCTAAGGGGAGGTAGAGAAGCAGGTCCTAATAGGCTTACCCCCGAAATGTTTAAGTATAGTGGTCCCGTTTTAAAAGTTAGACTGACCGAGATCCTAGGTAGAATCTAGGAACTGGACGTAATCCCATCTGACTGGTCTCAGTCTCTAATTGTGCCAATCTACAAGAAAGGACAGAAGTCCTCTTGTGACAATCAGAGGGGAATAAGTTTAACTAATATAGTTTCTAAATTGTTAGCCTCGATTATGCTTAGACGTCTAACTAGAGCACGTGAAGAGCAGACTCGAGAAAACCAGTCTCGTTTTCGAACTGGACGTGATTGTAAAGACCACATCGTTACACTACGACAGGTCCTGGAACACAGACACACATTTAGGCGTCCGACAATAGTTGTTTTCCTGGACCTAAAAGCGGCATTTGACTCAGTGGATCGTGAGGTTCTGTGGCAGTGTCTGTCATTGAAAGGTGTACCAAAGAAGTACATTAACCTCATACAAGCTCTCTACTCGAACACTACTGGTCGAGTGAGAGCATATGGCGAGCTATCATCTGAATTCTCTACATCAAGTGGTGTCCGTCACGGACGTTCACTCTCTCCATACTTGTTTAACTTTGTCGTAGACATCCTCTTAGAGTTAACATTAAGCTCGTCAGATTTTTCAGGGGTGGACCTTCTACCAGGAAATTTGCTTACTGATCTAGAATATGCCGACGACATAGTTCTATTCGGTGAAGACGCTGACAAAATGCAGTCTTCTGACTACCATAAGCAACAATGCAAGCATGTTCGGGATGCGGTTCTCACTCTCGAAATCCAAAATGTTACTTCAAGATTGAGTTGCATCGGTACCTGAACTAGTGATAGGGAGTGAAGTAGTCGAATGTGTAGATCACTTTTATTTATCTAGGGAGTCTCATCAATGCTGATAGCCTTGTGACTGACGAAATCTCAGCTCGGATACAGAAGGCTCGATTGGCTTTTGCCAACCTGCGTCACTTATGGCGTAGGCGAAATGTCCGTTCGCTAACCAAAGGACGGGTGTACTGCGCAGCAGTTCGCTCCGTTCTCCTATATGGCTGTGAAACATCGCCGTTAAGAGTAGAAGATGTTCGTAGGTTACTGGTTTTCGATCATAGGTGTCTTCGAAGCATTGCTCGTATGTCGTGGGACAACCGTGTAAGCAATGCTTTCGTTAGGAAACGGGTGCTAGGTAAGGATGGCAGATCAATAGATGAAGTTGTGAAACTTCATCAGTTGAGGTGGTTGGGACATTTATTACGTATGGCGAACCACCGACTGCCTCGACGAGCTATGTTTTGTAGTGTAGGAGTAGGTTGGAAGAAAGCTAGGGGCGGCCAGACCGAAACATGGCACAAATCCATGAAGTTACTAACAAGTGGACTGAGTCATGTTGGTGTTTTTAGACTACCTGGTTGGGGTCGGCGAGACGAAAGTCACCAATGGTTAGAGACCTTGAACGACATGGCTCAATGCCGTTTGCAATGGCGCAAGTGCATCCATTCGTTGTTTTACTCTCTCAAATCCTAATCTTCTGGATTCGTCAGCACCTCTACCTTTGTCTTTCTAACCTTATCTCACTGAATTATACTTCATGAATAATATCTTAAACCCTAGTCTTCTTCATTACCATTAATACCTCTACTATCTTTATCACTATGTGATTTGATTTGACATTTGCGTCTCTGTGCTAATAATGTGGTATGGCAACCTGAACTTATGTACATACATACGAAGTTCTACGTTGCAACTGACTGACTGAATACGTATATATTTTGCATTATTATCTAATTAAGGTTATATTTGATAAATTCCCCAAAGTAACTAAACCGAGGAGATTCTACCGGTGATTAATTCTGAGGTCAACCAAATCGCCACCTGCAGATCCCTAGTAACGGCGAAACCTCTCCGAGTGGCACTGGATAAATTAGTTTTCGCTAAGCTTGATTTTGACAGTTTACTTGCCATATGTACTAATTCGTCTTTCTCACAGTCCTTGAGCCCTCTATCCATTCATTGGAGACCGCACGTCGATTACAGAGCAGTAACGACAGATATCTGATTTTACATCTCTGAACTTGTATACCGCACGACATTGAATCTGCCTAGGGAATTTTTCACACCGCGGATCATTAATAGCTCTAATGAATCAGGTTGTCCGAATACATGAAAACACTGCCTCCGGTGTCAACTCAAATATAACATTGACAGGTCACTCTCCCTCGACTCCGATCACCACTCTGTCGGTCCCGTAGACTTCAGTCTAGCTTGGCGAAAGCTGGCCTGACCACCCACGCTCTTGTCAATGAACTCAGTCAATGTATTAGTTCCGAACATATCTGCCATATGAATGGTTTTGAACTTTGTCGCTATGGTCATTCCTGGTTCCTTAGCTCAATCTGGTTCCGTCCTACATCTGCAGCGTTATCTGGTCCGGGCGGCTGTGAACGCAATCTTCAAATCTGGCATGTTATCTCTGGCAACCTTCTTCATAAGAAACATTCAATGATAACTCGAGCAACACTGATCGCTTCCTGTCCGTCAGCGCTGTTGCCCTACAAAAGCACGCCTGCCGATCTTTCCCCGAACGAAACCTAGACGTATTGAGCGTGCAACCCCTTTCTATAGTTTCCACTGTAAGGGAATACTTTTATGAAAAGAACGCAATTGGTGTATTGAAAAAATTCATTATTATGGCCAACTATACAACTCGGTGCTATCACCTCAGAATTATTCTTAACATACTCGCGCCCACACCTGGAGGTTCACAGCGTCATCGCACCCCCTCCGCTTAAAAGAGACATAAATCTCTTGGGTCGAGTGCACAGTAACCGAATGGGTGATAGGTTTGAAAGCACGTACTATTTCCCTCATCGATTACACACTACCAAACACCTGGAACCGTACAAAAAGAACAAGAATCGAGAGCAAAGAGATCAATTAGTTTATACTACCTCGTGATAAGGATGTTAGATATCGGATACTATTGCTGAGGCCTACGTTTACTGATGCTCACTCGGTAACCTTCACTGTAAACTTTGGGACTATCTTGGTATTATTTCGATATCGCGAAATCGCCAATAAATATATCCTAATTTAAATCACGACTGAACTTCTGATATTTTTGTTTGGAGGGATTTAATTTTGTCACTGGCATTATATTGTCGCAACTCACAATAAAAGCACGACAACAGGTGCTACAAGTTTTGAAGAGCTGAAGTCAAAGTCTCAAGGTCGAAAATGGATCAGTGCGGTATTAGGAGACTTGTAGATGATTTAGTGACATGCCCAAAGCGGGAAAGAAAAGTAAGCGACAAGATTTAACTTCATTTAGTCTCAAGAATAATGCTCTTAGAATTTTAAATTTGTTACAATCCCCAGCTACTCATCAAATCATTAGTGCCTGTTCCGAAAAAAAGTTTCAAAATCCTAACGTTCGAATCATTACATGGAATTTTATCATCGAGGTATGTAAATACGGGTTTTATCTTGTGAATATTTCAGAGTGTAATACAAGTTATGATAGCTGAACTTCATTCATACAGTAGTCGCGGAAGTGTAAATGAGTCACGTTTAAATATCGAATTTACTCCGTACCTTAAGATTTTGCAAATTATTGCATCACGCGGATCTAAAGGTATAAGGACTTAAATTCATGCTAACATATTTAGGAAATTACCCAATCAATCTGAATGATTACGTCCCTTTCTTCCTTCAAATTGTTGAAGACAAGAATGTTACTTTTCTGCATCAGGGACTTTTCAATACCTTGTGTGTGTTTTTATTGGAAGAACGTGTAAACACCATTATTTTGGACACAAAGCATTTAAAAAGTAGGTTTCCTTAGTAGAAATAATTGTTACAGATTTAATATTTTGGTGTTGTGATCGTCTAGACAGTTCAACGTCCCTTCTACCTGCCCGCTTATTGTGCCTTTTAATTCGGCATTACTGTGAAAGCCCTTCACTGCCATTCTGTCATATTTCAGACAAATTATTCAAGTTCATACAAAAGTAATTTTAAAATACCTTTTGTAATTATTGATTTTGCTGTTTAAACAAGAGAGTTTGATAAAATTTGCGAGCAAAGTCCAAATATCTCCTAGCAGACAACCCACAGTACATTACTAGACCAGAAATTTCTTAGTTGAAATAACACATATTATTTGAGTATACTGATGCTGCATATATACTGGTGAATACTGCATACAATATCTGTCCAGTCCGCTGCAACTTAGAATCTGGTACGTACGTACATCAGTTCAAGCTACCATATCACAGCACAGAAAGGTAGAATTTTTCAGTTCAAACCCTATAATAGTAGAGGTAGTAGCAGTAATGTGAAAGATTGGGAGTCGAATATATATACACATCAAAGGGGTAGGCGGACAACCCTGACGAACAACATCTGAAGTAATCAACTTTAATCACAGTTTGCCATAAGCTCCGACTTGACCTGTGTTTGAGTAGAGAGTCTGCACAGCGTTAATCTGCTTTTTCAGCATGCTTCAGTGATAGACGCCGCTACATAACCACACGATCAGCAGAGTCAAATGCTTTAAGATCAAAACATACGACCATACTCTGGAGTCAAAAAGTGTGTCTTTGTCCTAGGATCTGTTAAAATGTGTCTTTTTGGTCTACACATCCACCCTCAGGTCTGAAACCAGCCTGGAATAATCGCGTCTGCTTTTCACGAACTCCAATTAGGCGTTGAATGAACATCAGTAGTCTACTTTCACAAAGCAAATGCCGTTATTCTTCCTAACTGACAGATCCTCAGGAACTGGCAACCTGTATATAGTATTTATGCATATACAGTATTTTAACCGGTTGCGTAGTTATTATGCTCGTCTTATCTTTATCCTCCCCTCTCATTATGCCCTGTATCGCTCATCCACTTACCAGGTTAGATCACACCAGCTCGTTGAAACTGGTTTGTTTTCTGATAGATCAATTCAAAAATAGCGTGAGGTACCTGTTGTCATGATGAAAGCTGAGATTATGTTGTTCATTCGTTGAATCACCAGTGACAACTGATTATAAAGAAAATTTTAAATAATCCCTTATATCGACAAATCATTTTTCGTTACCATTTGTTTTGAACCTCTTATTATTTGTATTCATCGTAGCTGTAATCAATCAATCGGTCAATCCAAAAGCATATTCGTTACAAATCTCGGTTGGGTTTGTCATTTAATTCGATGGTTACTCGTTAATGTATACACCAATCAATCTGATTGGCAAGAAGTAGCCGTGATTATTGACCAGACGATTCGCACTTTCCTAAACTTGGTATTCAATGAACATCTAACCAGCTGTATATTTTCTACTAATCTCGGAATTAGCGACAGGACTAAAGAAACGGATCCTTCTCAGCGTTATGACGTAAGTGACCACATGAAATTCCCTATTTATCTTATGAAACTTCCGGCCATTTTCTACTATTACATCGCCAGCTAGATAGGTTTGTTACAAAATGAATGTTTTACTCACTTATAATCATACTGCTATAAATATTCTGCGTTTGGAGCACCAGTACAAAATTATTCAAAATGACATCTTGATTATTCGGATAGTTTACTTTCATCTAAATATATGCTGTTTATTCATTATTTTTAGGCTTTACAGTTTCATTCCGGAGCATGGACAAAGGAATGGACATGGGATTCACTTTCTCTTGCTTCATCTTTTACAACAATTTTGAATCCCTCAAGATACAGTAAATCTCTAGATATTGTTGGAGGAAACGCAGTGAAATTTATAGAGCAAAGCAATGTTGAACATCGGGCCCCGGTTCGTCTGACATATCCCCTCAATTTTTTCCTCACAGAACAGCCCCCCAAACTTTGCGTGGATTCCCACTCATCAAATATCTTACGCGAAAACACTGATTTAAATACACAGCAAGAAATATTATGTCTCTGGCGCTGGGTGTTCGTTTTTAGTTATAAATTCCCACTTAAGCAGTTAACGAAGTGTAGAGAAAATGATACAGGGTCTTCTGTTCTGCTCAAATACTTGCTTCAAGAATTCAAATCGATCACTGCTCGACTGAATTTCCAAAATGAGGATACTTGCTGGAAAACCATCAGTGGGCTTAGAAACTTCTTTGGTCTACTAGCGGCAGTACTAATGGTAGAGTATCACCCAGATAATAACAATAAGGTTCGTTTTCTAATATAGTTAATTTTCCGTGTTGAACGTATTTCTCCCTAAATTTAATCGTTTGAAATAGTTTTAGTTGTCTATATCATCGCTCGCTTTGAATATACTCGTGTAAAGTGATACTAATTTTATTCCCCATATTAAAGCTTATTGCTTCTGTCACCTTAATCAACCTAATTTAAAAGTAAGTTATACTCTTTTGTCGTCACGTTAATGTGTTATAACTAATACAATGTTTGGCTACTTCAATAGTATTTTCTTAGGGGCTACTAATTGTAAAAAACAACATCTGGAAGTTATCATGAAACTACGGAACCCATTTATTTTTGAAAGCCTTTTCACTGCTATGCAGCATGATAATCTAGATACTTAGATACTTTTGAATAACGTGACCATAAGTTTATACATCTTGGTACCTCGACTGGTCTCTAAGTTCTATTAACTAACAAGTTTGGGACCCAGTACGATCGAGAGTGAGGAGAGTCTCCTCTTCCTATTAAAATACTCTAATATGGCTACGTGTAAATAACCACTGATGGAGAAATCCTATTCACTGTCTTCTCGTGGATGGGGTGTTCTGTCAAATATTAAGGGGATAAAAAGTGAATGCTTGCCATTTAAACCGAGTTGATAACTATGGAGCGTCCACTTAGGAAAGTCGGGAAACCCTGATTCCAAACCAGTGGTGCACATGTGCTGCTGAGGGGACATGGCGTATGAACTTATTGTTAGTCATTGGCTACCTTGTCTCCTAACGTTTTATCACTACCCTATGGACTAGACCTCCAGATCAAAGGCTTTAGGAGTGGTTTTCTAAGAACACCAATTTCTTCGGATTAGGCATCCGGGCAGTTTCCCAGCCTTATGGGAATATGTGGCGCCTTTATATTATGATGCCCATTTCTATAAATGCTTATATTTTTAGATAGAAAAGTTTTGGCGAGTTACTGATTAATTACTTCTTTTTGAAACAGATGATGATTGCTTCCATCCTTTTACTGTTTCATTGCATTCTTTGGTTTTAGCCTTGTACAGTACATTACAATACTACTAACCTTGAAAATTAAGACTTTCAACGTGCTAATATAACACAGGACTTATGTTAGGTTAGCTTCTTATTTATAGTACAAACGAACAGCATATCTTTGTGAAGGTGTTAATTGTACTTAGGTCTTTAAACAATTTCCTCCAAAAACCACATACATAAAGCTACAACAATTGAAGTGGCACATTTGTGGTTAATATTATATTATAATAGCATGTTTACCGAAAAGCAGGAAAATAATGGAACACTCCGAGTCACCATATTTGTTTGTCACACTTCAACTACATAATCATTTACGATATTAAACATTCAGTTAATTTTAAATTTTCTAAAAGCATGGAATTATCATTATCTTGACCGAGTTCGCTAATAAACATCATCATAATTTTTAACAAAATTGTACAATGTCAATTAAACGAAATGCGAATAGTTCTTCATAAGTTTTTGAGAAATGTAAATTTAAGCGGCTTTCTGCACCGAATCCTCTCAATCATCTAGCTGTATGGTACTCCATTCAAAAATCCGGTTCTCTAAAAAGGAATAAGCATGTACAAAGTCAAAGCTTTATTGTTCTCATCATTGTATAATCAACGTAAACCTGAAGATTCGTTCTAATGACTTTCTAAGTGTGTTTTAGGGCGTATGGGATTTTACTGGTATTAATAGTACACTAACAATTTATATACTAATTTTCGACAGAGTGATATTGTCAATGAATTCTGTCAAGAACAAGTGGAGCGTGATACTTCAGAAAATCAGAGTGAAAGTAAAAGGGCCCGCTCTGAAGTTGGTTATTCAGATTCTGGGACATTTGTCTCCAGAGGTTGCCTATGGAATACTCTGGTTAGCCTTACCAATAACAATACAAAATTCAGTTGCTTATGGTAAGTATTGCTTGCCGATTGTATACATTAAGCTTGCGATTAGATGCAAATGTACCTGTATGTTTAGACGTTTTCTTAAATTGTTGTATGACTAACCATAATCATCCATGAAAAGAGATTTACTGACTAATGTCATGAATACCAAGTTATTATGATTTTACAAATAATTGTAACTATTAAAGACAGAGATGTAGTCGCTTTGTACTTACGATAAATATTTAATTTCATTTTTTAATTACGCCTGTCACCCCAGTGAGGGATAGGCCGCCGACCAGAATTCTTTAACCTACTCTATCCTAGTCCTTGTTTTCCAGTTCCATCCAATTGCTGTTTATTCTTTTCATGTCTGCTTCCGATCCTCGGTGTAATGTGTGCATTGGTCTCTCTACTTTCCTTTGACCATAAGGACTTCAAGTTAGGGCTTGCCTTGTGACGCAGTTGGGAGGTTTTCGCTGCATCTGTTCGACCCACCTCTAGCGCATTCTCCTAATTCGTTCACCATTCGGACAATGCCTTTCTCCCACAGTAGGTTGTTGCTAATTCTGTCTGGCCAACGGATTGGTAGTATCTTGCGTAGACAACTGTATCTTGTGGATGATGGCTTTTGTAATTCTCCAAGTTTCCACAAATGTCTTGACGTTCCTATTGAAAATTCTGACTTTGGTGTTGGTTGGTAGTTGTTTTGAGTTCCAGATGTTGTTCGGTTGAAGAGATGCTGCCCTTGCTCTACCGATCTGCGCCCTCACATCTGCATCAGATCCACCGTGCTCATCAAAGATGCTGCCCAGATATGCAGAGGTTTATACATCTTATTAAGTTTCTCCATGAAGTGTGATTTGGCTGGTGTATGTTTTGTTGTATCAGAGGATCTTGGTTTTTCCTTTTCTGTATGTTGAGGTCCATTGTTGCTGAGACTGCTGCTAATGATCCAGTCTACCACCAAAAGAAAAAGAGGGTGAGAGTAAGTAAACTCGCCTGACACCGGTCTTCTTCCGGAATGAGTTTGTGAGCTGTTCTCCATGAATGACTTTGCAGTGTCGTCCATTAAAAGAATTCCATATGATGTTGGCTATCTTCTGAGGCACGCCGAAGTGTCGAAGGAGCCTCAATAGTGTTGTTTTGTCCACACTGTCAAATGCTTTTTCTCAGTCAAGGTAGTTGATGTAGAGTTATTCTCCAGTTATTCCCCATGGTAACTTCTTCATTGGGTAGATCTTGTGAGGTTTGGAACTTGTTGCTAGGAGCTATCTTGGATTTTTTGAGTTTGTCAATGCCAGGACAGAGTTTAAATGGTTTGAATTATCTGTTCTGGTTAGCGTTTTTTAGCTAGTTGGTTTTCTACGGTAATGGATTCATCAAACTTATACCTAATCTAATGCCTTTATCTAGGCTTGGGACCGGCAGTAACCCTAAAAGAGCTTCAGGCAGAGTGTAAAAAATTGTTGAAATATTCTTTCGGGAGGCGAGAGACTAACTTTCTGTAGTAATGATGTATTAACCTGAGTTTAGATTCCCGGATTTTTTTTATTTTAGGTGGCTTGTTATTGATTGGATTATTCGACTTTTGTGGCAAAATACTTTGGTCATACGTTCTGAAGGCAAGAAATATGAGTTATATACTGATATTGAAGCTCTTCTCGAGATAATCTCAACTTCTGTAAAGATTAAACGAATGTAAGTCTTCCGAAAACTACTCTTATTGGTGTTTATTAATCTGTCATTTTAAAACTCATTGTGTAATGTACTTCGTTTATCAAGCTCATTTTTAGCCACTTTTTGTGAGGACTGATGATGCAGAACAACCAGAGAAACTGATGTGGATAGAGCCTAGTTTGAACTTGCTACTTACTGATTGAAGATCGACTGATTCAATCTCTCCCTACCATATTATTTGATAATAGTATATTTTCATTCTGATAAGTTCGGCTTCAAGTAGATAAATTTTCAATCTTTGGATTATCAAGACTAATAAAAGACCTCGTATCCATGTAAACCAAGACCACACAGCTGGAGTTCTTTTCATTGTAATCGGACGTGAATTTCAGTTTTAGGACAGTACTAACATAGCTGACACGTTCGGGATGCGATTCTCCTCTCGTAATTCAAAACGTTTCCTCAGTATTGGCTTGTATCTGTGGCAGTGTCTGTCATTAAAAGGTGTGCGAGGGAAGTACATTAACCTTATAAAAGCTCTCTACTCGAACACTACTGGTTGAGTTAGAGCTTAAAGCTAATTGTCGTCAGAATTGTTTACTTCAAGTAGTGTCCGTCAGCGTTGTCCACTCTCACCATTCCTGTTTAACTTTGTCATAGACATGCTTTTAGAGATAACATTATCTTCGTCTGAATTTTCAGAGGTGGACCTTCTACAAGGAGATTCACTGGTTATGACATTGCTCTACTTGGTGAAGTGAAGTAGTGTTTAGGACATGTGTTACGAATGTTCAAGCAACGACTAGTTTAACGAGCGATGTTTTGTGATGTAGGTGTAGGCTGTAAGGAAGCTAGGGGCAGCCAAATCAAAACATGGCACAAATCCATAAAGTCACTGACAAGTTAACTGAGTCATGTTGGTATGTATCGACTACCTTGTTGGGGTCCAAGGGACGACAAAGTAATCGAAAACGAGCCTGGTTTTATCGTGTCTGCTTTGCACGAGCTTTCGGTAAGCCTTGAAGTATTATTGACGCCAACATTTTAGAAACTATATTATTTAGGCTGATCCCCCTCTGATTGTCACAAGAGGACTTTTGTCCTTTCTTGTAAATTGGGACAATTAGCGACTGAGACCAGTCTGATGAGATTACGCCTAGTTCCCAGATTCTACCTAAGATCTCGGTCAACCTAGCTGCTAAAACTGGACCAGTATCTTTGAAAACCTCAGGGGTCAATCTATCAGGACCTACTGCTCTTCCTCGCTTTAGATTTCCTATAGCTTTCTCAACTTCATAAAGACTAGGAGGACTTGAATCGATTTGCCATTCTGGTTGAAGGTCAACTGAACTGCTCCCTAAAGTGTTCTGCCCAACAATCCAATCTCCTGGTTTGAAAATCAATGATACAGCCATCCTTTTCTTAGTTAGTTTCGCTAACAGATGGATTTTTAATACCGGTTTCCTTTATAGGGAGGAAAAGTTGTCTACTGTTGCCGATCGCCGCCGCTTTTTACATCGCTTTTGCTTTCGCCACCCACCACTGTTCGCAGTCGTTGCGTAGGCTTTTTATCAGCCTGTGCTTAAGCTAACTTCACTCTTCATCATGTACAGAGTCAGATGGAATGAGTTTACGAGCATCCATCAGTTCGGTAGATGCTACTGAGATCCACGGCTTCATTCTAGCCTTATGGTTTACCTTACTAGCAGAGATTACTGCTGTTTCCACAGCCTTTTGGATATCATTCCAACCTACTTCCGGATGGTCGCCTGGTTGTTTTCTTAGTTGTTCCTGAAATATATTCATAGCTCTGCTATCATTAGGTAGAACCCTAAAGGGTTTCCTTGCGGTGTCTTTCTTACGTCCGGTAAGTCACAAACAAATACATACTCATACTAGGGCATGTTCCGAATCTAGAAATGTGCCTCAAAACGAGCGACAGTCCTTTATCGAACCTCTCCATCAGTGGCTGATGGCAATGTGATCTAGTTGCGTCCAACGTTGTGACGACTTTGGAGGTCGCCATGTTAAGAGATGCTCTTCCTTATTCCTACAGTTAGTGTTTGCTAGAAATAGGCGGCTATCTCAACGTAGTTGCAGCAGACGGTCACCATTGTCTGTTCTCCGAGCCGCGACACCATAGGATCCACCCAGGTGTCTTTCACTTTCACTTAGTCTACTACTTGAGTATTGAGGTCACCAGCCGTTATTACTATACCAGAGTGCCTAACTTTTTGAAGGAGGTCCGAAAGCTTTCTGTAGAACTCATCTTTCACATCGTCTGAACTGTAGTCGGTAGGAGAATATGCAGATACAACGAAGAGCCAACGGCAAGTGTCCCTATCTTTCCGAATCCTTGCTATCCTGTTCACTCGGACAGCACACAAGCGACTATCTAATGGGATCCAGTCTAGGAGCGCTAGTTCTGCCCTAGGAGTCAATGCTATACATACACCAGCGAGACCCAGGGAAGCAGCTTCAGGACTTCCAGATACACGCAGAATAAATCGAATTGCTTCATTATCTTGAAATGGTGAGGTCAAGTGAATGACGCTACTCGGATCCTGTATTCACGTTTCGGAGACGCAGCATACATCGATTGAGCGAGATTCTGAAGTCCTAGCTAATGAAGCTTGCTGCCCTATTTGACACGATGTCCGTACATTTAAGGCTCCAACATGCAGTCTAGAACGGGATTTCAGGAGACTAGGAATAACTTTTCGTGAACTCGCATCGTTTGCATTAGAGGTACGGGGTAATAAAGGAATGTGAGTAGAGTTATTCGTGAAGATAAGAAATCTTAGGGGGTGTAGGAAGAATTTGATTTTGACCAATTTGGTCTCGCGTGCTGTTACGGGTATGAGGGCGGTTGTCACTTCCCGGTTGCCCACACCGTGGAGGGGTATTTCTTGAGGAACATAAAAAGGAATGTAGATTAGTGTTGGTCTTAGAGACCTGGGTGCGAGACCGCAAAGTCCAAGGGACAACTACTTGAGGCCGGTCACGCACAACCTTCTTATGGGTAGTACTTAGTGTTAGCTCCGTTCTTGTTTAAAAGCCGTGACCGCTGGGAACGGAAACCCGCGAGGCAAGGTGAGGTGTGACATTTTTAGAGTCGACCTTTTCTAACTCTTCCTTCCTTGTGAGAAGGCAGCATCGCTGCAGATGCTGGTTGTCCGAGGGAAACACCTTACTGCTGTCACACCCCTCTGCAGTCAGCAGTATGACTTCGCTCTCAGACCTTGGGTAGCTGTTTTCAGTCTCATCGTTCTCCAATCGAACAGTCTGGCATGGTAGAACCTTCAGGAACATATGTTTCAGCCATTATAGCTCGGTTGGGTCATGACGATAGGCGAGCGCGACCACCACGTCAAGGTAGCAGCTATGGTTGGTCTGTGCTAATATTTTATGACAGCTTGTTCTACGTTTTACATTTCAGCTGACTGAAGGGCATGTATCAATGTGTGCTTTGAGCTGTGTGAAGTTTCATTCCTTTCCATTATGCTTTATCTACTTTCATTAATCTTCTGATAGCAAGTTCGTTCCCTTTCCATATTTCTTCACGGACTCTATAACTGTGAATGTTTAACATCAGAAACTCATACTGTTAGAAATCCTTTGTTACATGTGAATGGTAGTTATCAACTGTATTCCAAGTGCATGTTAAGTAGTACTTCGAGTAAATCAATTATTTGGTGAGATTATTTACTAGACTAACAGTTAACATTTACCTCAGTTTCATAAAGAAATATTCCGTAAGTAGGACCATCGTGAAATTTGAAGAGCTATATAGGACGGTATTCTTACTCATTTATATTGAATCGAGATTTATTTATGTCTAAATAAATACTTATATGAAACCAACGGTACTATTATCCAGTATATTGTGTAAATAAGATATTTTTAAAGTTCGCTATGTGCCCGCCTAAGTTGTTATAGAGATTATGTAACATGTCACTGCTAAAATAGCTAATGTTTTTTTTTAAATTGTGTTCAATTTTGCATTATCCAGGCCATTAGCAAACGAATGTTTGGTTACAATGTTGCATACACTTGTTGTTTTATTGAATTACGAAATATGTCAAGGGTTAATTTCTCATGTACTATTGGATAATGCGTTGTCATCTTATAACGAAATATGGGAGTTTGCTATTAGGTAAGTCGTTTTGAGAAATATATCCAGGTTGTTACCTTGTAGTGTGTCGAATTAATGCGTGTTCTTATAGCTCGGTTTATAAATCAGAACATGAACTCGTATTGATGAATACGTTTATTCGAGGCACACCACAAAGCGAAGCGGATTGGAGAAGGCTAAGAGCCAACCCTTTGGATTACAATGCGAGCGAATGGGCAAAGCGAATTGGAGAAGGCTAAGAGCCAACTCAAAGAGAGCATGACTAAGAATATATAGTCAGACCAAAAATAAGACAGACATATGACAAGGGAAATAGGTATGCACACACATGAATAAAAGCGACGAATGATTGACAAGGTCAAAAGCAAGCGATACAAATCATGTGAGTTCATGGGAATATTAAGAGATTAACATTAAAGCGAAAAGGATGAGTAAGCGCGTAGGCGCAAGCGATGTTCAGTCGTACAAGCTCATACAAACCAGATAATAAAAAATACCAATGGTACATATGAGTTGTTGCTATACAAATGGCTTGGTTAAATAAATTAATCGAAAGGGCTTAACCAAGTTAGATGTAAGAGAACTGTAATATATGTCAGTCAGTTGCAACGTAGCACTTCGTACGTAAGTACATCAGTTCATGTCGCCATACCACATCAGCACAGAGATATAATTGTCAATTCAAATCCAATAGTAGAAGAGGTAGTAAAGGTATTAGAAGTAATCGGAGAGGTTAGAATTAGAAGATATTATTCACGAAGTATGATTCAATGAGATAAGTTTAGAAAGTAAAAACTACAGGTGTTGAAGAACCCAGAAGATTAGGATTTGAGAGAACACAAAGAATAAATGCACTGGCGCCATTGCGAACGATTTTGGGCCATGTCATTCAAGGTCTCTAACCATCGATTATTATCATCTCGCGGACCCCAACCAGGTAGTCGACAATTACCGACATGTCTAAGTCCACTCGTCAATGACTTCATGGATTTCTGCCATGTTTTTGGTTTGGCCGCCCCTAACTTTCTTCCAACCTACTCCTACACTACAAAACAAAGTTCGTCGAGGCAGTCGGTGATTGGGCATACGCAACATATGTCCCAACCACCTCAACTGATTAAGGTTCACCACTTCATCTATTGATCTGTCATTCTTACCTAACACCCGTTTCCTAATAACAGCGTTGCTCACTCTGGTGCCCCAGGATATACGAGCAATGCTTCGAACACACCTATGATCGAAAACCAATAACCGACGAGTATCTTCTACTCTCATTGGCCATGTTTCACAGCCATAAAGTAAGACGGAGCGAACCACTGCGCAGTACACTCGTCCTTTAGTCAGCAAACGGATATCTCGCCTACGCCATAAGTGACGCAGGTTGGCAAAAGCCAATCGAGCCTTCTGTATCCGTGCTGAGATTTCGTCAGTCATCAGGCCATCAGAACTGATGAGACTGCCAAGATAAGTGAAGCGGTCTACACGTTCGACTACTTCACACCCTATCACTAGTTTAGGTGCCGATGAAACCCAATCTTGAAGCAACATTTTGCATTTCGGGGGGAGGGGGAAACCGCATCCCGAACATGCTTGCATTGTTGCTTATGGTAGTCAGAAGACCGCATTTAGTCAGCGTCTTCACCAAGTAGGACAATGTTATCCGCATATTCTAAGTCAATAAGCGAGCCACCTGGAAAAAGGTCTAGTCCAGAAAATTCAGACGAGGATAAGGTTATTTCTAGGAGCATGTTTATGATAAAATTAAACAAGAATGGAGAAAGTGGACATCCCTGACGGACACCACTTAAAGTGGGGAATTCCGGTGATAGTTCGCCATAAGCCCTCACTCGACCAGTGGTGTTCGAGTAGAGAGCTTGTATGAGGTTAATGTACTTATTTGGTACACCTTTCAATGACAGACACTGCCACAGAACCTCACGATCCACTGAGTCAAATGCCGCTTTTAGGTCCAGGAAAACAACTATTGTAGGACGTCTAAATGTGTGTCTGTGTTCCAGGACCTGTCGTAGTGTGAAGATGTGGTCTATACAACCACGTCCAGGTCGAAAACCAGATTGGTTTTCTCGAGTTTGCTCTTCGCGAGCTTTCGTTAAGCGTCGAAGTATTACTGAGGCAAATATTTTAGATACTATATTAGTTAGACTTATTCCTCTGTGATTGTCACAAGAAGACTTCTATCCCTTCTTATAGATTGGGACAATCAGTAATTGAGACCAGTCAGATGGTATTACGTCCAGTTCCCAGATTCTACCTAAGATCACAGTCAATCTAGCTGCTAAAACTGGACCACCATCCTTAAATATCTCAGGGGTCAGTCTATCAGGACCTGCAGCTCGCCCTCGCTTCAGATTTCCTAACGCTCTTTCTATTTCATTAAGACTAGGGGGACTTACTTCGATTTGCCATTCAGGATGACTGAAGATCGTGGGTAACCGAAGAGTGGTTCGAGGCCAGTTGAACTGATCCCTAAAGTGTTCTGCCCATCGATCCAGTCTCCTGGATTGAGAATAAATAATAGTCCCGTCATTTTCTGAGACAGTCTCACTTACACTAGGATTCCTAATACCAGTTTGCTTGATAAGTCGGAAAAGTTGTCTACTGTTGCCGATCGCCGCTGCCTTTTCCACCGCATTTGCTTTAGCCACCCACCACTGTTCGCGGTCGTTACGTAGGCTTTTTATAAGTCTGCGCCTGAGTTGACTTCGTTCTTCATCATGTTCAGAGCCAGGTGGTATGAGTTTTCGGGCATCCATCAGATCGGTGGATGCTACTGAGATCCATGGCTTCATTCTAGCCTTATGGTCAACAGCAGATATCACTGCTGTTTCCACAGCCTTTTTGACATCATTCCATCCTGCTTCCGGATGGGAATCGCATATATGATCGCCTAACTGTCTTTCTAGTGGTTCCTGAAATATATTTTTCGCCTTATTATCATTAAGTAAAACCCTATGAGGCTTTCTTACGGAGTCTTTCCTCCGTCCAGTAAGCTTCAAACAAATAGGCGCCCGCACTAGGGCATGATCTGAATCTGAACATGTGCCCCAGAACGAGCGACAGTCTTCTATCGAACCCCTCCATCGGTGGCTGATGGCGATGTGATCTAGTTGAGTCCAACGTTGAGACGACTTTGGAGGTCGCCAGGTCAACAGATGCTTTTCCTTATGCCTGAAGTTAGTGTTTGCTAAGAATAGGCGGCTATCTCAACGTAGTTGCAGCAGATGGTCACCATTGTCTGTTCTCTGAGCCGCGACACCATAACATCCACCTAGGTGTCTCTCCTGCTCACTTAGTCTACCTACTTGAGCATTAAAGTCACCAGCCATTATTATTATACCGGAGCGCCTATCTTTTTGGAGGAGGTGCGAAAGCTTTCTGTAAAACTCATCTTTAACCTCGTCTGCACTGCAGTCAGCTGGGGCATAGGCAGATACGATGAAGAGAATACGGTGAGTGTACCTATCCTTCCGTGTCCTTACTGTCCCGTTTAGTCGGACAGCGCACAAGCGACTATCTACTGGGATCCAGTCAAGGAGAGATTGTTCAGCTCTACGACTCAATGCTATACCTACGCCAGCAAGAGCCCTGGAAGCAGACCAGAGCTTCCAAATACACGATGGGTAAATCGAGCTGCTTCTTTATTTTGACAAGGTGAAATCAGAATAATAATTTTAATAGGATCCTGTATGCGCGTTTCCGAGACACAGCATACATCGATGGCACAAGATTCTAAAGTCCTAGCTAATGAAGCCTGTTGCCCTATTTGACACAATGTCCGTACATTAAATGCTCCAACATGTAGTCTAGAGCGGGGTTTAAGGAAACCAGGAACGACGTTTCGCGAACTCGTGTCGTCTGCATTAGCTGTGCACTGTGATAAATGAATGTGAGGAGAGTTAGTCGTGGAGATAAGAAATCTTAGGGGGTGTAGGAAGAATTTGATTTTGACCAATTTGGTCTCGCGTGCTGTTACGGGTATGAGGGCGGTTGTCACTTCCCGGTTGCCCACACCGTGGAGGGGTATTTCTTGAGGAACATAAAAAGGAATGTAGATTAGTGTTGGTCTTAGAGACCTGGGTGCGAGACCGCAAAGTCCAAGGGACAACTACTTGAGGCCGGTCACGCACAACCTTTTTATGGGTAGTACTTAAAGTGTTAGCTCCGTTCTTGTTTAAAAGCCGTGACCGCTGGAAACGGAAACCCGCGAGGCAAGGTGAGGTGTGACATTTTTAGGGTCGACCTTTTCTAACTCTTCCTTCCTTGTGAGAAGGCAGCATCGCTGCAGATGCTGGTTGTCCGAGGGAAACACCTTACTGCTGTCACACCCCTCTGCAGTCAGCAGTATGACTTCGCTCTCAGACCTTGGGTAGCTGTTTTCAGTCTCATCGTTCTCCAATCGAACAGTCTGGCATGGTAGAACCTTCAGGAACATATGTTTCAGCCATTATAGCTCGGTTGGGTCATGACGATAGGCGAGCGCGACCACCACGTCAAGGTAGCAGCTACGGTCGGGGACATATGACAAGCGAAATAGGTATGCACACACATGAATAAAAGCGACGAATGATTGACAAGGTCAAAAGCAAGCGATACAAATCATGTGAGTTCATGGGAATATTAAGAGATTAACATTAAAGCGAAAAGGATGAGTAAGCGCGTAGGCGCAAGCGATGTTCAGTCGTACAAGCTCATACAAACCAGATAATAAAAAATACCAATGGTACATATGAGTTGTTGCTATACAAATGGCTTGGTTAAATAAATTAATCGAAAGGGCTTAACCAAGTTAGATGTAAGAGAACTGGAATATATGTGGAGGCACTGCAACCTATTCTAATATTTATTACAATGACAATAATCCAAAAGTTGGTCCCGAGAGTTTTCGTTTCTGTACTGTCCTACTTCATATGGGTGATATAGAAAATTGAGTTGAAATGATTGAGTGGTGATTACGATCTCGCTGAAGATGAAAATTATGTTCCAAAGATTACTCTTTCTTGTTGCGAAGGCAGTTGAAAGTTGATCACAGACTACTTGTGAAATGGAAGGTTATGTTTTAACCTCCTGAATATTATGGTCTCCTTAAGTTCTAATAAAGTAGTTATATTGCTTAGTGATTATCTTCTGATGTTTTGTACCCAGCAAAAGACATGCATTTGAACCATAATAACTAGTTTCCTTTCATAAACGGAAGTTCTTGGAAATATTTTCATTAAAACTCATAAATCGCTGTCACTGAATCTTTCTTTCAGAAACCAAATGAGCTTCTTAACGTGTATATAGCGTAAGAGAAAGCACAATATATAATGAAGCCATCGTATCTTCCAAATACTGTCGCTTTTGGATTGTTGGAACATTTATGATATTTGGGACTTAGCATCGTGTATAGTACGTTTTGTCAACTGCTATCCATCTTACTCAAGTTCATCCCACTAACATGATAAGGATTTTTAAAGATATTCAATTTTCGTGTATCTCTATACGTGTCATGCAATACCACTTGAATGATAAATCATGCTCCCGACCGTAACTATTACCTTGATGTGGTGGTCGGGCTTGCCTATCATGATGACCCAACTGAGCTAAACTGGCTTGAACACATGTTCCTTTAGGTGTCACCATGCCAGACAGGTTGATTAAAGAATGGGATAACTAAAGGCAGGAACTTAAGGTTTGAGGGCCAAGTCGTATCGCTGACTGTAGAGGGGTGTAACAGCACTAAGGTGATTCCTTGTATTTGGAGCGATGCTGTCTTCTCACAGAGGAAGAAAGGGATAAGAAAAGGTCGACCCTAAAAACGTCACACTTCACGTACCCCGCAGATTTCCGTCTCTAGCGGTAAGGCCATTTGAAGAGCGGAGCTAACAAATTAAAGCCTTATAAAAAGGCCGTGCTTGGCCGACCTCAAGCAATCGTCTCATGGACTCGCGTCCCAGGTTGCTAAGACCAGCGCTAATCTGATTTCCTTTTCACGTTCCTCAAGAAATACCCTTCCGTGGTGTGGGCAGCAGGGAGGTAACATCCATCCTCATATCCATAACAGCACACGAGATCAACTTGTTCACAATCATATCCTTCCTACACCTCTTGATAACTCTATTATCTCCACGGTTAACCCTTCTCGTATACCTTATCATCTAGTGCAGCTAGTGCTAACGACTTGAGTACACGAAATGTTATTCTTGGTCTCTTGAAATCCCGTTCTAAACAACATGTTGGAGCTTTTAATCACCGAACCTTGTGCCAAATAGGACAAAAAGCTTCATTAACTATCATTTAAGAATCTCGTGCTGCGTTTCCGAAACGTGCATACGGGATCTGAGTACAATGATTAATTTGACCTCATAATGTCAAAATAAAGATTTACGCTTCATGTATCTGGAAGCACCGCTGTTGCATCCTATGGCCTCTCTGGTGTAGGTATACCATTAAGTTCTAAAGTAGGAGTAGCTCTCTTAGACTGGATCCCAGCAGGCAATCGCTTGTGTGCTGTCCGACTGAACGGGACAGTAAGGATACTTGTTGTTGCTTCCTTGTCGTTTCTGTCTACGCTCCCAATAATTGCAGCTCAAATCAGGTAATAGATGAGTTTTACAGAAAGCTTTCAGACGTCCTTCAAAAAGTTAGGCGCTGTAATGTAGTAATAGTTTCTGGTTTCGTTAAGGCTCAAGTAGGTAAACTAAGCGAAAATCTAAGAAACCTGGGTGGTTCTTGATATTCCGCGACTCACAGAACAGATAATGATGACCATTTACTAACTAAAGGACGAGTCTACTGCGCAGCAGTTCGCTCCATCCTACTTCGTGGCTGCGAAACATGGCCAGTTAGAGTAGAAGATATTCGCAGGTTAATGGTATTCGATCATAGATGGCTTCGAGGCATTGCTCGAATATCCTGGGATCTCTGAGTGAGTAATGCAGTTGTTAGGAAACAGGTAATAGGTGAGCGTGGTAAAATCAATAGATGATGTTGTGAAATTTCATCAGTTGAGGTGGTTGGGATATGTTTTACGTATGCGCAACCAATGAATGCGTCGTCGATGTGTGTTTTATGGTGTAGGAGTTGGTTGGAAGTAGGCTATAGGCGGCCAAACCAAAGTATGGCACATATACATGAAGTCGTATCTGTAAGTGTAGACTAGCTGGTGGGGGTTCCCGAGATGATGGTAACCGATGGTTAGAGACCCTGAGTGACATGGCTTAAAACCATTTGCAATGGAGCAGGTGCATTCATTCTTTGTGCTCTCTGAAGTCCTAACCTTCTAAATTCCTCATCACTTTATCTCTTCATTTTTAAGTTTATTTCACTAGATTCTACTTCTGAATAATATCTTCGAAACCTAATCTCTCCGATTACTACTAATACTTTTACTACTATTACTACTACTATGGGATTATAATGGATAATCGTATCACAGCGCCAATGTGGTTATGGCAGCTTGAACTGATGTACGGCGTTCTACGTTGTTGCTGTCTGACTGATTAAACATGGTTCAGAAATTTAAGCACATCCTTAGGTGCCTGAAAGTCAATCACTCAATTCATATTTTCATGTCACATTAAGATTTCAATGTTAGGTGTTCTTGTAAGATATCCGTATTATAATAGATACCTGAAATTTTTCAACCTTTTTAAGAAGAAAACATGATTGTAAAAATCTAGTTCGAACTTATTGTTGACAGATTTTAAAGTATGTGACCATTAAGTACTCTTTACTTAAATTCTTAATTTTCACAAGTTACTGTTTTACTAACAATATAGTGGTTAGTTCTGATTAGCTTTTGTCTTTCTTTTAGCTTATTTGAACAATGTTCTATACAACGAAACCGTTTACATGGTCGTAAACGTGAAGGTTCCATGTCAGGTTATCGGTTTTTGAATCATGATCGATTGGTATGTAATCTCTTGTCAGCTTTATTCTGCCTCCAGAATTCTACCAGAAACAATCATTTGAAATGTGTGAATGTATCTAACATTTGTTTGCGTATATTTACTTCGCTGATGAAATGTTTAGACTTAGACAGTAGTCATTTGAACAGTTCACCATGGCGTGTTCGGTTGATTGTTTTAAGTAGTAATTACTTAAAATTACCGCAAAATCTAATTCCTTGTGAATTCTTTGTCAATGTACCAACTATCCCTAATGTTTTGCTATTCAATCCGGGCATTCTTTTCCTGATATACAATTATACGAAAATTTGGAATGCTGATGATGATGTTCCTGAAAACGACACAACATTTATGGAGGTGCCAACAGACATGAGTATTTTATTAACTGGCATTCTATGGTCGTATAAAAACTATGTAATGAATGAATATACTCCTACTATTCATTCATCTAATCCATGGTTTTATACAGGAAGTAATCACAATCAACCATTATTCAGTAATCAAGACCACATAGAAGCAATTGACTTTATCAGAAAAACTATATCAGTTCACACTCGTCTAAATGCAAATTTACCTATCACTGATGAAAATATACCTAGTTTAGTTGTTCTCTTAACTACAGAGCTATCATTCATTCAATATAAATGTGGTTTGCTGAAAAAGAATTGTGAATATGTTGATGAATTATCATCCTTTTATTCAGTGATTATGAAGCGAGTTTTGAAGCAAACATTAGATAATTTAATATCCAATAAATATCATTGGTGTGATTCAGCTAAAACTGATAAATCCAACTTTTCTGTTCAACTCAATGCTGATGATTTTAATAAAGAATTTAAAAAGTTCGAAATGTTTGCTAAATCTTTAGAAGTTTTATTGGAATTATTAGCTTTTAGTACAGATGATTTATTATGGATTTCATCACCACAATTGAATCAGTTAGTACATTTCTCAACTAGTTATTCAACAATTGAACAGTCGATTTCTGAAAATACATTTCAACCAATAGCTGTTTCTAGTCAAGTGAAGAAAACCAATTTCGGAGATGAAGATTTTGAGGATGCTGATTCTTCTGTTACTGTTGAAGTAACAAATAATCAAGATGATTTAAAAGAAATCTACTTACGTAGTAATTTCTACCAATCAGTAAAATTTCAAATTTTTAATTCTTTGTTTTTATTCAGTCTTCGACGTAAAAACATAAACTTACTGAAACAAATTTATCAGTCATTGCACGATTCCATTACGAAAATTGCTTTAAATGATAATGAGTCTATTAAATGGTTGTCTAAACTTACTAGAAACATATCTCGATCTATGTATAAAACATTTTCTGACAAAAATTATGATTGTAATTTAAGTATTGATTTTGCTGAAGTGATTACTCACTTTATTAGTTCAATAGTAGATACAGTTCGTGAAATTCTGAAATCCCTTCTAGCACGCTGCAGTCAATATTTGTGTATTACTTTAATTGTTAAATTAATTCGTTCACTTTGTATGTTATCAAATAGTATGGTTTATATATATATGCTTCAAAATCAAGCAAGCATGGACCTTGAAGTAATAGAACATTGGAAATTGATCGGCCAACATATTGACCAGATGATTCGAACTGTTTGGTCTGTTGGATCCAAATTTTCTAGGAAGTCTTTACAAGGTTTCGAAGATGCGACTGTAGACTGCCTTAACTTGTGGATAAATGTAAGTTAAATAACCGGACATATTAGTCTGATCCATACACGGTATCATAATTAAATGCGTTATTTTCATTTTGTCTTCGTCAATATCGAGTTTCAACCTTTGAAACTCTATAACGTCAGTTTATATATGTCAAACAAGTAAATAACACCCTACTAGATGCTGAAGTACTTAATATGAGTTTACCACTCATATCTATAATGGAAGTTAATTGTTTGAAGATCAAACGATTCGAATTAGTAATAGTTTTACAGGTTGTGAAACTATGGTTCAAAAGTATTGGTGAGATCGAAAGATGAAAATTAATAAATAATAATGCAAGCAAGATATCGAAGAGGATGAATATGCTAAAACAAATCATCATCATGGCAACCAGTTTTAAGCTAGCTCATCTAAAGTTTCCAATTATATTTCAAACCATAACGAAAATGTCTGCACCTTTGCACATGGCTCATATTAATAGTTAATGATTTCATTGACTAGTGTTATTTCTTTAGACCTCCTGACCCTTAGTATATGAACATAAAGTTATAACTTGTTTTTAATCAATCTTACACTTCAGTTAAGAAATTCTAGCATTCTGAAAAGGGTTTATTGATTAATCAATTAAGAAATAGGACTATGTCAAACCACGGAATCCTTTGTGTTTTAATTTCCTTAAATGTTGGACCACCAAGTTCATAGACATGTGAGTATCATCATTTGCTTGTGTTTGAACAAATAGTAATCTATTTATTAAAATTGTCTTTAACAATATGACGTTGTTGTGAATATTACATAAAATTGATATGTTTAAATCTATATTAGGAGCGATCCACTGTTTAGTCATGAACATGCTTATCACCCATAGTTGGATAGTGAGAAATAAAATTGACACATTTTAGAGATAGAATCTCTGATTGGGTCACTGGATTAAATAAGTAAACATTTGGGAATCTGAAAAAACTATGTACACTTGACATTATCAAAAGCAATCCGTTACTGTCAATCATGCCTACAAAATGTAATAAATAATTTGCGGTACCCACAAGTTTGTAGAAAGTCATTCTAATAGTCAGTAAATATCAAATAATTAATTGTTGTAACTAAACTAGCCATTTGTTGATCCATCTTTCAAAGGATCTTTCATAGTCACTCCGTTTTTCTATTCTAATCAAATTTCCTTAGCTTTATTCTGCAAACATTATTGATAAACAGAATAACCCAGAATATTGTCTAATTCCAGCGATTCAACATATCACACCTAGTGCAACTTTTCAACTAGCCGAATTTCTCCAAAGGTAAATCCAGTCAGATACTTTTTTTATATTTTATGATGAGAATTATTTCGAGATATTTTGTTATATATGTATAAGTAGCATTAATTTAGGCGATAGATTCTTACATATCGTACATAAGAAAGAATGGTTGAAACTATATCGTAGAAACTATAATAATTTGATTAGTCAGTTATTTTTCAACTTGCATTTCATTCTTAAACCATCAATAATTACATAGTGAAAGTTAAAAGAGGGAGAAACTGTTTGTTTATATTTCATCAGTCAGTTACAACGTAGAAAGTGATGCGTACGTACATCAGTTCAGGTTGCCATACCACATTAGCTCAGAGACGCAAATCTCATAGAAGTAGAAGTAGTAGAAGTATTAGCAGTGATGGAGAAGACCAGAGTTCGAAGATATTATTCAAGAAGTATAGTCTAGTGAAATAAACTTAAAAGGAAAAAAATAAAGGTGAAGTACTCCACAGATTAGAATGAATGAATGCACCTACTTGCCGTGTCGTCTTCATCGTACCTGCCTACGCCCCCACTGACTGCAGTTCAGATGAGGTAAAAGATGAGTTTTATAGAGACCTTTCTAACCTTTAGAAAGTTAAACGCTCTGATATAGTAATAGTGGCTGGTGACTTCAATGTTCAGGTAGGTAGACTCAGTGAAATGGAAAAACACCTGGGTGGATGTAATGGTGTCGCGGCTCAAAGAACAGATAATGGCAACCGTCCACTACAGCTATGCTCAGATAACCGCCTATTTCTAGTAAACACTAATTTTAAGCATAAGGAAAAACATCTTTTGACCGGGCGTCCTTGAAAGTCTTCTCAACGAAGGTGAGCTTCAGAGGCTGACAGTCTCGAAATGTTTACTAGTACACCTTTTAATGACAGACACTCCCACAGAACCTCACTAACAACAGAGTCAAATGCCGGTTCAGGAAGACAACTATTTTCGGACGCCTAAATTTGTTTATCTTCCTGGACCTGATAAATATTTCGTCTGTACAGCCACGTCCAGATCTGGAACCAGACTAGTTTAATCGAGTACGCTCTTCACGAGCTCTAGTTAGGCGTCGAAGTATTACCGAGGCTACCAATTTAAACATCATACTAGCTGAACTGCTTCCTCAGTGATTGTCACAAGACGACTTTTGTCCAGAATAGATAGATGGGATTACACCCAGTTTTAAAATTCTACCTAAGATCTCAGTCAATCTTACTGCTAAAACTGGACCATCATCCTTAAAACCTCAGGGGTAAGTCTCTCAGGCCCTGCTGCTCCCCGTCGCTTCAGATTTCATGTAGCTTTCTCAAATTCATAAAGAGTCTGAGGACTGACGCCGATTTGTCATTCAGGTTGACTGGAGATCGTGGGTAACCGAAGTGTGGCTGGAGGCCACTTGGACTGATCCCTAAAGTGTTCTGTCCATCGATCGAATCTGCTGGGTCGATAATGGATAATAAGCCCATCCTTTTCCGAGATAGTGTCGCTAACAGATGGATTTCTAACACCGGTTTCCTTGATAAGGCGGAACAGTTGTCTGCTGTTACCTATCGTTAGAGGTTAACATTGTTGGATACTGGCCCAGTGATTTTGAACTAAGGCGCTCGTGCGCGAGACCTATGGTCTTGGGTTCAAATCCCTCAGCAGGTGTCGTGGATTCGCACTGCTGACAAATCCTATACTGAGGCGAATCGGCCGTCCGATGTTTCTAATAGTGGTCCATCAATGATCGATTCATAATTTCAGTGGAAATAAATAGTTTACGAATTATAACTTTCTCATCTTGAAAACTAATGGTTACCAGTTCGACTTTCTCTCATTTTAGTTGACTCAGTGCAAAAATTCTAACTCACTACCAACATAGTGTTTTTATTTTGGTGTAAACTCCTTTCATTGTATGAGAAACAATCTTACAGTCTTATCTCCTTGTGAATCTGTAAATCTCATAATTCAAAGCCAGTCGCAAAAATAATTGAATCTCAATTTCATTCAAGATATAATATCCAGAAAGTAATTTATATTAAGTTTCTTATTAAATATGATAATAATAATGCTATGATATTTTCTAATAATTTAGCCTGATTGTGAAATCGTACAATTTTTCCTGGTGTCGAACCAATCATTATTCTATTCTAACCTTTTGTCAAACTTTACTGGGATTACTCTCAAATACTAAGTTCAATTTCATATCGCTAAGACCAAAAACTGATACAACATATTCATCTGTCAATTTAAATTTCACCGTTTATATATATTCATTAATATCAAAACTCTTAACTATCCTGTCTACATATACTGGTACTATTAACGGAAATCAATTCTCTGCATCATTCTCATCGAATAAAATTCCATCCATGCTATATCCTGAATTAGAATGTTTAACTGTATGTTGTACTCAAATAACCACAATCTACAATAAAAACGAAGCAAGTGGCTGCCATCAGATACACGAGGTAATTTCTGTCTGGGTTTTTTGGTATTGGGAGGATTTGTGGAAATTGTAGAGTTTTTGTACTTTGAATCACAAACTGATAATAGCAAAGAATACCATTAGAAAGCAGTAGGAACTGAAAGCTGATTCGTTTTAGTGTGGGACTACCCAGTAGTGCGCATCCACGACCCTGTCATAGGGTATAAAATACAAGATCGGTGGTTTATGGGTCAAGAGTTCACGCGCCAGTCCAAAGGTTTCAGGCTCGCTTCCTTATGGTGGAATTGTGGATGCCTACTGATGAAACGTCCTACATTGAAACGAAACGGTTTTCCAGTGCTTCTAGGTTTTCAATAGCGTTCATAGTTAAGATATTATTTGGTAATTTAAACTGGAATTTTTTTAGTTTATTCAAAATGTACGTAAGGCAAATCTCTGCATTTTGAATTTTCCCTCTTAAGACGGCTCGTAATGTAATTACGAACATACAAAACCTATGCATTGAAGTCAGTTCATAACAAGTTCAAAATATTCAAAACTCATCTTCATCCTTTGTTTCTTGTTATCATTGATGATAAGTTTAGTTTTAGGGTATGTTTCATCATTTGTGAAATACTATTTTAGACTCGTTTGTTTAGTTCTGATGTTTTTATTTGAGTTGCTACTCTAAAAGTATTATTTGATTCGGTTCTCATCTTCCTCAAGTAAAGATGTAAATTTTGTTTTCTAAACATTTGAAGAAAATGGGTTTTTTTCAAAGATGAAACGCATATACATAATGATGGTTTTTAGTGAATGTATTAATGATAGGATAGAGATCTTTGTACATAACCGCGCTACTCTGAATTGAAACAGGTGGTTTTCTTAGGGGACTGTAAACAAAGTCTAATCTGCAAGATGGTAGAGCGACATAAGATAATGCCAACCGTTGGTAACCAGTAACTATAATAGGTTCATGTGCCATCTATTCAATCAAGATCCTTCATTTTGTATGGACCGTTAGATTAAAATTAGGATTTTCCAGCTCTCTTAGGTATTATTCATAATCGTTAACCCAATGTACGCGTGTGACTTTTCATTTACCCTCTTACTTTCATATTAACACCACCGCCAGAAGACAGTAATCACAACTTCTCTTCATGCGGCTACAAACACTTAGACAGTAATCGTTTACAAGCAACTTTGAACCATCGAATATTTCAACTCCTTTCCATCCAATCGTATTCACTTAAAACCCCTCCAGAATCATCCATACTTCTGAGCTTTAAGTGTATTGTGTCAACATACTGACTCAATGAAGTATAGCGAATAACCACATATGAAACAAATGCATTTATTAATTACTGTGATTCTATCCTAATTAGCAGGGTATATTAACTGATTTAACGTAGGACCCAATAAGGGAAATCTAGAATATAGTTCTTTATAGGTACAATGAATGTGATTCTTTAGCCTTTTTATTAACAGTAGATTCGTAACTCATCGGTTCTACTGTTCGGAGTTCAACCATTACTTCACATGTTTGGTACTTGATTTTTATGTCATCAACAGTAGGGTTTTTATTTTAATCACTTGTTCACAAAAAACAGATAAGTTACTCTATCAACGCTTTTTTTGTTAACAATTATAGCTGTTTCTTGAAATTTTGGCTGAAAATGATGCAACTTATTTTCATCAACACATTCGACCTATTTTATTACCATTAGTACTTAAGCGTTGGTTGAATAACTTCAATGCTGATGTATTCAATTTAGCGGAATTCTTATCAATTTTCCCCTGGAAATGTTGGGGAATAAGTGATTTCCAGGAGGCTCAAAAGTAAGCAGTTTTTTTCGGTTTTCAACATTAAAATCATTCATGTTCATATGTCAATCATAATTCCTTTACGGTTGGATGATAAATCTCTCCTAGCCTTTCGTATGTATTCATTGATTTAGACAACAACATTCAAGTTTTTTTATCATACATGAATTTACTTATATATGAAGTATCACTGAAAACACTATCAGGTTTTTGACTTATTTGTAACCAACAACTAGATCACTAACCTATTATTCAATAAGGTTTGGCTCCTAAATTTCATCACATCAGTCACGTTAGTTATGAAGTTCTCTACATTTTACATCGTTTGTTTATTTCCTGTTCTCAACTTGATTACTACATGCTATATGCTTTTTGGAATGTTCATCGTACCTATAAAAGAATTTATAACAGAAATAGATTCTTCGGTGGGTACTGATTTCCTTTGTCAAACCTTGATTTACAAATGTTCTATCGTTAATAGATAATGCGTTATGATTTCATCGCAGTTATTAAACGGAGTTTGGAAAATCCCAAATCTAAGGTTAGAAAACAAAGGAATCTAAATATCTGATCACCTAAGTTCTCATCTAATAACATTGACAATAGTGGAAAGCATAAAATTTATATAAATTCTGTAGCACAGGTGGTGTAATTAATCTAAGAAATGATAACAACTGATCATCATCATTTGAATGGATATGCACTTTATACTGACAAAGTTTTAGTGTAGAATAAAACTTCGAACACATCAAGAGGATCATATCGATGGAGCGGTAAATTCCATTTCGTCTCAACAGACACTTAATCATCATCATGCAGTAAAATACAAGGATGTTTAGTGATTTTCTACCAATAAGAAATTGTTGAATTATTTTATTATTGACTAATCAACTTCCATGCTTTTATGTAGTCAATCATGTTTCGTTCATTGATAAGTCATCATATTTGGGAAACTAGCAATTTTATCATTAGTCGTATGTCTGTCTTTAATGCATGTTTATTCGTTTAATAATAAACTTCTATCTTATCTGTTGGCTTTCGTAATAATCTGTCTGAATCATACATATTTTCAAGGGAACTTTGTCCAGTTCTCAGAAGATTGGCTTTGACTGATTTCTATAAGCCTATTGCTAAATTAGAGGACATAAAGATGGCCGGTTCTCTTCTTACTGGTCACATTCCTGAACTGGTGGGTGCCATTCTTATATATTCGGTCATGCAAAATATGAATGATAACAGTAGACTTCCACAATGGCATATAATCACAGAATTGTGTGGTGGGATAGAGGTGAGTAATATATATTGAGTAAATATTTCTATTGTCTTCGCATAGATAGATCGTGACTAAAAGTGGAATCGAGGACTCACGTTCCGTCCTCATAATATTTATTAGATGTAGGTACTTATGTTTTCAAAATTAGGCAAACTAGAGGAAATAGTTGTTTGGTAGAAAAAAAGGTTTGCAAGGATAGTCCACAAACCCGTTGAACCTTAATAACGTTATTTATATCTCTGTTCTGTACAGTAATCGTCTAAAAGTACATTCTGGAATTTACTTATGGATTAAAAATCGCCAACCCATCATCTCATTTGGAATGCTCGCTAGTTCATTTTTATAACCTGAATAAAATCGGAGTTGTCATATAATATGTAATAAAAAGATAAGAAGCAAGAATGAACTGGAATTTTGTAATGCAAACTATTTCAAAACATTCCCAGTTCAGTAAATTAAAATAAACGTTGTCATATGTATACAAATTTAATAAGAATGTTCGAATTTGTACTTACAATTCTTAAACCTTATATTTTTAAACTAATAACTTTGATTGAAATTGATCAACTGATTTATAGTCATTTTTTTAAACAATCTTTACTCAACTTCTTCCATTCAGCTTACTCGTACAACTTTGCTAAAAACAACAAATGTATGTAAACTAATTCATTCTGTGTTGAAATTACGAGTACTCTATGATATGCCAATAAAATCTATTGACTCATCGCAATCTCTTACAAATCATCAGTATCTTGGATCATTTCTTATAAAATGTTTAGCTAAATTATACATTAATCTAAATTATGATCAATTTGAACCGACTGATCGAGCTTCAGGTACAGAACAATATTATTTAAAACATGCATATGATCTGATGAGTTCTTGTCATATAAATTCAGTAAGTTCTTTTTACAACAATAATTTCTTAGCAATTTAACTTCATAACCAATTAAACTTTATGTAACCATCTGGAAGCCATAGTCTTTTTGCATATAGGTGATTGACACTTGTCAGTCGCCTAAACAAAAGAAGGTCGAATGCAGCAAATGAAAATCGAATTTCTCATCCAATAAGTTATTTTAATGTACAAATTTATTCTTATTGTACAGATGGTTTCTCGGGATGCTGATCGGATATTTCCCTAATATCCACAAGATTTTTTCTACCTACTTCAGTTACGATGAATAATAATGAACTAGCGAAAGCTCTAGTGTTTCTAGTTTATTTCATTCGTCATGAATAAGGTTAAGTAACATAATAGTAACTTAACAGATAGACAGACAAACAGATACAACGCAGAACTTTGTACGTAAGTACATCAGTTCAGGTTGCCATACCGCATCAGCACAGACACATAACTGTCAGTTCAAATCCAGGAGTGATAGAGATAATAGAAGTACTGGCAGTAATAGAGAATATTAGGGAGCGAAGATATGATTCGAGAAGTATAATTCAGTGAGATAAATTTAGAAGGAGAAAGATAGAGATTATGGGAAATTCAGAAGGTTAAAATTAGAGAAAACACAAAGAGTGGATGCACCAGCGCCATCACAAACGATTTTGAGCCATGTCGTTCAAGGTCTCTAGCCATTGGTGATTTTCCTCTCGCAGACCCCAACCAAGTAGCCTACATCTACCAACATGACTCAGTTCAGTTGTCAGTGACTTCATGGATTTCTGCCATGTTTTGGTCTGACCGCCCCTAACTTTCTTCCAACCTACTCCTACACCATAAAACATAGTTCGTCGCGGCAGTCGGTGTTTAGGCATACGTAACACACCTCAACTGATGAAGTTTCAATATTTCCTCTATTGACCTTCCATCTTTACTTAGGACCTGTTTCCTAACGACAGCATTGCTTATGCGGTTGTCCCAGGATATACAACCAATGCTTCGGAGACACCGGTGATCGAATACTAGTAACCTACAAAAGTCCTCTACTCTTAACGGTCATGTTTCGCATCCGTATAGTAGGACGGAGCGAACTGCTGCACGGTAACTCAACAAGTTGCAGCTATATCTTAATCTAGTCAACTTTATCTTTCACCTAATTCTTCTCCAGTCGGGAACCCACATCGTGTTATTTGGCCAATTGATATGTATTATATGTGAACCGGAGCTTTAGTCGGCACTTGTTCTGAATTCCATTGATTGGTCTGTTACTCCTAGCAGAATTTCTCGATTAATGCTAACTTTTTATGTATATTATGAGGAATAGTAAACTACACAAGGTATTTTGTGAGTAATTTATAACTACAACTGTCATCTTACCATTGATTTATACTCTTATTCATTTTGATTAGTCTCGGCTTGCGCAACCTCTATTTCAACATACGTAAGCGTTTTAGAAAGAATTTATGATCTAATATGCGTAATCTATGCATAATTTCCATTTCTAGTCGTCATGTCTTTTATCTTTAGGGTTACACTGGCCAAACTGTAGCCCTATAAATGCACACTTTTATCGACAGTCAATTACTTCACGGACATCAAAAGATGTCAAATAAGCCCCTTGCATCTGAGTTAAGACATAGTGATCAGTTTCTTAGTGTTAACGTAGCTCTTAGAATAAGCAATTAATTCTACACGCTTAGACTATCATTTTGTGATCATTCTATCTAGCTTGCTATTTAAATGTTTTATTTAACCCAACGATACACCACCACAATTATCCATCTGAGCTACAAATTTTCTTCACCATCTCAAAACTTTTCCTTCTCAATCAAACTAAATATTATTCTCCATTGAGTATATTTTAATCTTACTCATAAATCCTCAGAAAGGATAAATTTGACTGTATATTTTATTTACAAATAATTTGTTTTATCCTTTTAGGACTTAGTCAATCGTCTTTATCAAGTTGGTATACAGTTTCTTTGTTCACAGTCTAATATTAATGTATCATATTGTTTAATACCTTATTGTTTGCGACTAACATGTTGGTGTGCAGTCTCGAATTTTACTATATCTTTACTATTCAATACTACATTATTTGATTCTGATGCTAATAACAATACTGAATTGAGACAAGTGCAAGAGTTTTCAGTTTGGCTTTTTGTAAACGGACATATCAGTTTGCTAGTTAGTGAATTAACTCGGTAAGTTGTTATGTTCATCCTTAACAAATATTTACATCCCATGTAACAGATCTATTTGATTCTTTCGTATTTCCACCATTTTCTTCCTCAGCTAAGGTTGGTTTCTTCTCTCCCACAGTATAGTAACGATTTGATCGGTACATGATGGATCCTTACTGAATCCAGCCTGCTGTTCTGGAAGTTGAGTGTCAACAGAATTTTCAATCCGTTTAACAACTCTCGTCGAAGACTTTATTTGGTACCATCAAAAATCGTGCACTCTTGTGGCACAGAACCTCAATATATGTTTAATTTATTGCTTTTTTATTCCCTTCTCCAGTTATTCTCCATAGTAGTTTCTTCCTCATTAAGTCAGTCGGTCAGCAACAACAACGTAGAACTTCTAATGAACGTACATCAGTTCACGTTGCCGTACCACATTAGCACATAGATGCAATTTTCAATTTGAATCCAAAAGTAATAGAGGTAGTAGAAGTATTAGCAAATTAATGCTCGAATATATCATTCGAGATTTATACCACGGAGTAATCAGTTAAAAATAAAGAAGAACGATCGTGAGGAATTCAATAGATTAGGATTTGAGATAATACAAAGAATAGATGCACCTGAGCCATTGCAAACGGTTTCGAACCATGTCATTAGGGGTCGCTAACCATCGATTACTATCATCTCGCGGACCCCAACCAGGTAGTCGACACCTGCTAACATGACTCAATCCAGTTGTCAGTGACTTGATGAATTTGTGCCATGTTTTGGTTTGACCGCCTCTAGATTTCTTACAACCTACACCTGCATCACAAAACAAAGCTCGTTGAGGCAGTCGGTGGTTGGGCATACGCAACATATGTCCAAACCACCTCAACTGACGAAGTTTCAATAGTTCATCTAATGATCTACTACCCCTGCCTATTACTTGTTTCCTAACGACAGCGTTGCTTACTCATATTTTGCATTCTTCTCCGTTTTTATATTTATGTTCCATACTGTTTACATAATTACATTACTATCTTACATATGAAATTCAGTATTGAGTTATTTATTCAACAAGAACTTATTTATTCTCCTTTTACTTATAGTATTGAACATCTTGAAGAACTTCTTGATTCGTTTCATTATCTATTTATTAAAATTCGTTCATTCTCTTTGTTTCAAGAAAATTCAAAGGTACATCTTTTTTGATTATACATTTATATATGTTGAGGCTGATGCCATTTTTTTTATAAATTTATATTTGATACTTTCTTATTTCTTGGAATTTAGTAGTGATACCCCCTATATATATAATATCAGTTGAGTTATCTTCTATTTGATCAAACTTCTTTTGTGTTATTTCTGTGCTAGATATTTTGATACTGTCTGTCCCATAGTGCATTATTTGATGACGTTTTTTAACCAACTTCAATGCTAATTTCTGAGACTGTAAAGATGTGGTTTCAAATTGTTAATAGAGTATCATTTTTTCCCATATTATTAAGTGTTAATAAGTGCGCAACCTAGTTTGTTAGTAGAACTTTCTACTATTCACCTTCAACTACACAAAACAGTTGGTGAATATGATTCTGTTGATGATGTGAGTAAAAACTATTCTTACTCTATATTCATTGTATATTGATGTCAGTTGGGGTAACTACTGGACAGTCGATTTGCACCAGTATGGAACTCCTCAGGATTGTTCACCCAATACGTCACTAGTGATTAAACTCACTATCTTCAGGTCTCAGGGCAATAATTTAATCTTTCGATTCCAACCAAAGTCAATTCTTCAAGAGTACAACCTGAAGAATGAACTAATCTCCGCATAACTAATCTACCGAAACCATAATCGTATACTCACTAGTAACTTGCTTCAGTATGAATAATTAAAGTTCTATTGGGAATTCATAAAATATTTTAAAATTAAAATATATTCTTTGTCAGTTAATTAAATATAATAATGATTTTCTGTTTATTTGCAGTTTTAGTTTTATCATACATAAGTTTATTTCATATTTCTGTCTTATTTAGTTACTTATCAGTCTACATCATTCAACTGTGTATACACTTAATAATTTGGCTGAAAATCTCTTACAGTCAAACAACCAATGTCAGTCTGTCTATCCTGATGAATTAAAACGATCACTTTTAAAAAAGGTAATATTATTGTTTACTTCGTGTTCTATGCTGAATAATGCGTTTAAAGATATATATCTAGTTAGACGTATAATTTTTTTTATCTTCTTTCATTTTTTTTTACTTATTCCTGATTTGTTTATCTACTTAGTAAGCGTTTATTATGAATTCATTTTTGGGTAATGCGATTCATTAGCAACTTTATCGTAACAGTATTATCTAATGACAAGTTTACATTCATAAGTAAGACATATTATTTCAATTCTTCAGATCTAACTGTTTGAAATCCATTCTTAAATAATATGAAATAACTTGATGAATTTTAAAAACAGTCTTTCATAATGATTATTGAAATCGTTGTTTTACATTCAAATCACGAATGAATCATTGTTGAACCACCATTAGAAACCTGGAGGCATTGGACGGCTGTTTCGTTTTGGTATGCTCCTCATCAGCAATGCACATCCGCGACTCCTGCTTCTCACATGATTCGAACCTAGAATCCTTGGTCTTGCGCACGAACCACTGAGCCAGAATCCAACGGTTTTAGTGTTTAACTCTGGTCAGTTTAAGGATTTTTGCGCAACTTCACCATTGTCTTCTGTGGTAGTTGCTGCCTACATCCGACTGCGTTGAACTCCACCGGTCACATCTCACTAGAACTCCGAGAATTTCCTCACGCAACTAGTCACTAATGAGCAAATTTTCGATGTTTGCATTAGAGTTTTATGCAGATGGTTGTTTTACACAGATTGAGAAAGAAGAATTTTCCAAACTTTGGTAAAAGTCATTTAACAGCAGTGAAAACCTGCAAATATAAACAAATCAACCGAAAGTTGGTAGCAAATCGTTATTGAAATAATAAGGAATAATTATGAAAGTGGAATAATCTTAATTTGAAAGTATACTGATATGAAAACAAGAATAAATTAATTCGTGATAAGTAGTTGAAAAATTAAAAAAGTAAATGGATGGTTTATAAAACTATGATTTTCCACCATTATAATAGAAGTTGAGTAAGATTTGTTTGCCTTTAGGGGTCGGTATTCTAAATGTGTACAATAAAGGCATCAACAATGCTGACAAGAACAAAAATATGTCTTTAGCTCATTTTTGGACACTTTATAAATGACATGTGTGTTTAAAGTAAATGACTAGCTTTCTCAAGAAGTTGCTTACTGCATTGTTTTCTTGGAGAAAAAGATATCAATTTGTCACAAAAGAATATTTTTTTCATTAGTTTTGAGTGTAGTGTTCTTCGATCAATTTATATTTACCAATAACTTAAACCGCATATTTATCTGGTCACTCCGATTTGTTCGTGCCACTGTAATTATTCCTGGAAAGTTAAGTATACTAATAATTCGATGTGCATTATGTGAATATTTGAAGAAGTGAGATAGATGGCATATTCACCAGAAAAAAGTGTAGTTTTGTTTACGAATCTTTCGAATTTCAATAATTTGATGAGAGTTATTTGATCAAAAAGCCACCAATAATCCAAATACATTTACAAAGTATATTCACTTATTTACAAATAAAAAAAATACAATTTTTCATTTAGATCTCAACCATTTTAAGCTTACTTCTTGGAGAAAATCATCCTTCCATTTTCAATGAAGCAATATGTCAGTTATGCGATTTACCTCTTATGAAAATATGTAACTACAACGATTCATCATCATCTGATGCATCTTGTATTTCAGTTTTTGAAGAATATCAAAAATCTCTTAGCTGCCTATCAACACTTGATGGGGTAAATATTCAACAGGTTCGTCCTATATATATATATTTGTAGTTAGTTTTCTTGTGCTTCTTGTAAACATCATGTCACAATGAACAACCAACCTACTTGCATCACCACGCATTTTGACTGTGTCCACATCGTAGTTCTGTGTGTATTTTTTTAGTGTTGCTATTAAAATAAACTCACAATACACACTACTTGCTATTCTATAAACTCAAATGATATCTTATCTGTCAGATGAAGATCACTGGTTAAGTAGTTTGATAATCTGTTCGCTGAACTTATCATGGCTTTTTAAACTGTAAAATACTATTATATTTGGTCAAAATGTATTTGTACTAAGTTGTTTTAGATTAATGTAACCGAAAAAAACTGAATAGCATATTTATATTTTTCTCAAAATCAAAGTGAAGTTAATATCTCTGTTTTAACTAACAAATTAGTACTCTTATTAAAAAGGCTCTTTAAAAAGAATTCTATTTATTGTGATGAATTTTGTTTTATTCTTAAATTCATAAATAAATCATCGTTGTTTTTTTGTGAAGATAAAATTCAAAACTATCCTAAACCAGCTTAGTAAATAGACAGCAGTGATGGGTTGATTTGATTTAGTTGGTTCATTGACGACCCAATACAAGGTCGAATCTAGAATTATGAAGGTCCTTGAGGAACATTGTACCTTCAAACTATTAGATTAGGATTAATTGGTGCATATTCTCGAATTCAAACAATTTTCATCTTTCTTTAAGAAATTTAATATTTCATGGTTCGATCTTGTACCGCTACTGTACAAACTTTAACTAACCAGTCCTTTGTGGTTTTTCAGTGACTCTTCAACTGACATTTGATAAAGAAAATTGTTTTCAAAATACATTAATTTCTGCACAGAACTTTTTCATTTAAATTTCTTTTTATTTGTTTTCTTTCAGCTTTTACAATTAATTTCAAATGATATTAAATTATTTCAGATTGTGTACTCTCCTCAATTATTTTATCCAATTAAAATGCTTGAAAAGATATCTTTTAATGCGTCTCTTATGTGTAAAGAGAATAAATCAACAAGTGGATCTGATGTGTTAATTCGACAGATAAAATCTGTACTAATGAAACAGTCTACAGAAAATAAGCAGAGACATGCTGGTTTATTGGGCACAAATAGTAATAATGTAGATGATGACAATATGACAGAAATAGGTGAGTGAGCAGGCTTTTTTAGTATGTATGCTAGGCTTCATGATTCCTGTTTTCTTACGTGATACGTTTGTCCAGTATAGAAATAACTAATATATATATATATATATATATATATATATATATATATATATATATATATATATTCCCACAACAGGTGACTCTTCTTTACTCACATATCTTTCTTATATTTGATTAGTCAGTTATTGGGTTTCAGTTTTTAATTTGTTCTGATAAATACCTAAACTCAAATTTCTGTTGTTTTTTCTGTCTTCTCAGATTTTTCAAATATAGCTAGTTTAAACATTATCTTGGAAAGCATTCTCAATCCTTCAACACCTGATAAATGGTTCCAGGAATCGTTGATTCCTTTGGATTCTAAGATCAAAGGATCTGCTCTACATTGTTTCAGCATCTTAAAACAAATATCACATTCAATAAATCTTTCAAATTTCAATCTTATGGATCCTGCAAGTAGAGATCTTAACTATGGAGTTTCTGATAGTGATGTCATTTTGGATCCTACATTCTATATGAAACAACAAACTTTATCAACTATTATTTGTGCGGTTTGTATTCCGAAGTATGTTATTTTATTTCCATCGATTTTGAGATGGTGGAGAAAACTTGTAGCTCAGGTGGATGATTGTGGTGGTGTTTGGTTATTCATAGTCTGACAATTACCGAACGCAATGAAATAGTAGTTATCTTACCCCCTAGTAATTTCCCACATATCTGTCGCTAGTAGAATGTTTATAATCCTTTTCGATTCATACCAATTTGTTTACATGTTATATGTGACAACACTAACGGCTTATTTAGTGGTCTAAATGTGACATGTGTCTGCTACAAATACCTAAGTACCTTTTGATTAATCGTACATGGTCGTGCAACTACAAAGAAGTTATAAAGTAGAACAAAAATTAGCTGTGCAGCATTCTCTGGTTTCCAATAGTTCTTCAGATGTTGTTAATTTTTGATCGAATTCATTGCTTTTCATATTGATTCAACTAAATTAACAATTACAGAACATTAATAAATTTCAATATGGTAGAAATCTATTATTATAGTTAATAATCGTTAGTTTCCTCTTTTTCCAAAAACATTTTGATCATTTTATACCTATTTCTTATGAGAAAAGTTATAAATTGAAAACGAATAATGTAACTATTGAGTGGAACTACCATAAATTAAGGAATTCCGTCCACAGTCCAAGCTAAATAAACAATATTTCTCTGGGTTATCGAATATTACTCCTCCCTCAGTTGGTTTATGGAATGTAGACATAGTGTTACTTGCCTTCAATTTTTTAAATCTTCTTTAGACTTGAAGACAATTTTGAACCTCATCACTCTTGATCAGTCAAAGCTGCGACAAATTATCCGAAAAATTATTCTTCATATCTTTCGACTTTCCCTATTTTTTTGTTAAAATTTTGCTACTAGATGTAAAACTTTCTTCCTGTAATCTTACATATTGATCACCTAATTAGAAACTCACTTATCGACTTGAATTACTCAGTTGGTATAGTTATTGTTAATGAAAAAGCTGATAAGGTGTATAACCTTCAACATTCCACTTTAATTCAGAATGTTGCCATGAGACTCAGTTTATTGCCATGGGTATTGGAGATAGTCAAGTGCGATCACCACCTTATTGTCTTGGAGGTCTTATTCAAATAATGCTCTGTGAAATTTTAGCACACATATATTAATAAACGTTTCCAAATTTTGTGGTACATCGACCAGAAATTATTAAGTAAATTACTTAGCTCAGTAGCACTTCATACTTTTATTTCACGATAGTAATTTTATGTAATTTAATACTACTATGCATAGATTCAATTTATTTGATTGCGTTTTTCTTTTATACTACCAGTTCATTAACTACTTTGAATGCATCAGAAGTCTTATACAGATTGTTTAATCAGTGTTCTTCTCTGGTCATCTCGTTGCTAACACACCCCGGTGAAAATCAGTTACCAACATTTCTGCATACTATTCTGTCTCCTTACATCCAAGGCGGAGATATTTCTAGTCAATCGATAGCAAATCAAACTAAAAATTCCCTGTTACTTATTCAAAAGATGGATTCTAAAGAAAAGGTTAATTTTTTCGTGGTGATTTTTCCATGAATTCATCTATTTTATTATTAATAACACTAGTTGTATTGCAACATGTGTCTGATTGAATCATCTGTATTTGTTTAACAAAGCATACAGGGATATCGAAGCATTTCCATAAGCTTAATGTTATTTAATTTTATTTGTTTGTTATTCTCAAAGGGTCATTTCAAGATAATGATAAGCTTTTTATTTACAGGTCGAGCTACGCTATTTGATCTGGAACTTGTTTTCTAAACAAGTAACTTATTAGCATCAAATGAATTATAACTAAATTACTCTTATGTGCAGCCAGTATTCTGTAGCATTTCAGCATATTATTATTATTATACCAACCAACTGACTACATACCATAGTAGTTTTTAGTAAACTAAGGACTACTCGAAAAGCTTTGTATTCAAACTAGATGATTTTTTATGGAACATATCGAGTCATACGAACAACAATCTAATCTTTTACTGAGATTCATTAAGTTAATCTTTAATTACTTACATTGCCTAATATAAATCCCGAGTTCGTAAGCTTAAAAAATCTGTTGCAGTCTATCAGATGGTTTATCTAAATGCCCTAAGTTTTTTTTCAACATTAAAACATTTCATGAATTTTTTGACAGGAAGTATCCATTGTTTAACCATTGGGAAATCGTTCTTGAAGAACTTGAGCCTATTACCACTATCCATTTGATCATATAACAGTTTGAAGTTCAGTGATTATTTTCTTTGTCAGCATATTAACTGGATGTTTATCCAGCTCAAACTTCATCTAATGTCGATGTATTTTAAAAAAAATCTAATAAGGTACTTCTTACTATCAAACAGATAAACAATGGCTAATTTCTTATAACTAATTTCTTATAACTAAATACTTTGTCGTTATACTATCGGAGTAACGTTCACTTAGTTGATACACGTACCGGGATATAATAATCGGTTAAATCTTGATGGATTGATCTTCACAGCAAAGTAGAGTTCTTGAATATTATTAACGTACCTAACAAAACCTTTTGGATTGTTTTTAAATTATGCTACTTATTTACTTTTCAGTAGTTATATATTGTTTAATTTGTTTTTGAAAATCGAATTCCACTAAATAGTTATTTCGCTTTTTATCAAGTAGTAATAATGTTAACTGTTTTACATATTCATGAAACATTTTTCAATAGGCCCAAATTCTGAAAAGTTTACCAACGTTAACCAATAAACTTCGACTGTTTTTGGAAAATAGTTTGACAATGTGTTATAACGCTACAACTTTCCGATCATGGTTGATGGATTTTGTCATATGGTTTCTAGAATCAGGTTTAATTCAAGACGATTTTCTTTCGTGCATTAAACCATTTTTACATTTTTCTGTAAGTTGATTGTTTATCTATTTTCCTAGTTATGGGATACAAACTTATTCATATGATTCTAATGTTCTCATTGAATTTATAGTGATATTAGAAAATCTGACAATAGTATGAACAGACTCCTGCACGGAATGGCATGTATAATAATTCTGTACACTCGGATGGCAATAATCTCATTTATAATGACTTTTTAAACAGTATTGTAACAATGATAATGAGAAAGGTTGAATGTTGAGAAAATGGGTTGGAATAATACAATACTAGAACTCGTGGTTTGTAGTTGGATAAAGCAGTAAATACATGTCTGAACCATACCACTCAACATCGCCAATCATGTAATCTGTATCCATTATATTGAGTTATATAAAAACACAAGAAATTCATAGGTTCACCTCTTGTTCTTTTTTGGCTGCCCCTAGTGTTCCTTTACCAACAAATAACTCACGTTAGGGGTAAGTTGATGAAATTTCACAACCTAACTGACTGATCTATCTTCTTTACCTCATACCATGCGTCTAACGCTAATACTGCCTACTTGTTTCTCCCACGATATCCGAGAAACGCTTCGTCACAAGGGACCTAAGCTGCCAAATGCCGACTTGAATTTCGAAATCTGCTGAGATCTTGTCAGATGCAAGCTCTCCATAACTAATGAAGTTTCCAAGTACAGCAAAATAGTCGATGTACTCAACTAATTCACTATTCATCATTAATTCCAGTTGTTAAGCAGCGTTTTGAATTTTGTCGGAGAATAACGCATCTCAAACGTACGCTAGTAATAAGGCATAAGTTGATCAAAAGTTTGATTTTCCCAGCTTTACCAAATAGGACTGTCATGTCTGTATTGTAAGTTGACAAGCGAATCTCCTGATAGTGAATAAACTCCTGAAAGTTGATCGAAGATGTTAATTTCAGGAGGACGTATCTGATGAAGGTAAATTTAAATGGAATAGTGGGCAGCCCTGACGAAGACTAATTGAAGTTGACAGTGGCAAGAATTCGCTATAAGCCTTGACTCCACCAACGGTATATGAGTAGAGAGTTTTCACAAGGTTCATGCACTTTTTGATACACCATTCAGTGACTAAAATTGCTACAGACGTCTCCGGTTAACTGAATCCAGCGCTGCCTTAAGGCAAAGAAATCCACCGGACATTAACAAGTATGCCTATTTTCTGCAATCAATATATACAAGTTTAAGTTTGGGACTAGCCTGGTTTACCTAGCACTAGACAAATGTCGGAAAATTATTTAATGTAATACGTTAGACACTTTATTAGCCAACCTGATTCCCTTGTTGTTTTCCACAGCGGCATCCTAGTAAAACCATAAATTTGATTTCACGTTGTCAAAATAAACAATCAACTGGATTTACTCTTCGTGTATCTGGAAGCCCTGATGCTGCTTCCCGGGGTCTCGCTGGTGTAGGTATAGCATTGCGTCCTAGGGCAGAACTAGCTTTCCTAGACTGGATCCCGGTAGATAGTCGCTTATGCACTGTACAATTGAACGGGACAGTAAGGACTCGGAAAGATAGGGTCACCCGTCGTTGCCTCCTCCTCCAAAAAGTTAGGCACTCTGATGTAGTAATAATGGCTGGTGACTTCAATGCTCAAGTAGGTAGAATAAGTGAGCAGGAAATACACCTGGGTGGATTTTATGGTCTCGCGGCTCAGATAACCGCCTATTCCTAGCAAACACTAACCTTAAGCATAAGGAAAAGCATCTTTTGACATCGCGACCCTGTGCTGTCGCGGTATGGCAACCTGAACTTTTACACTCATGTACGACGTTATACGTCGTAACTGACTGACTAATAACTGCCAGTTCTGCACTACCCAATTTTATTGTTAATTTGTTTTTAGTTATTTAATATTACATATCGCTGCTGGATTTTCGATACTGTTGTAATATCTGTAACACTGGATTTCTTGATAAACAAAATTAACAACCCCATTTGGTGTGTCTGTAATATACGTATTAAATTTTCATCAGTTTTAAGTTTTATTAATTATGAGTAAATTTCGAACACTCAATAATTGACTATTACTATTTTACTTTCAGTTTGCATTAACTGAAAAACTTTGTTCATGGCTGATTGCTTATTATCTTATCAGAATCGGTTCAAACAATACAACCGATAAAAACTTTCAACTGTTCAATTCTACTCTATGCGAAGGTATCACAACTTGTTTATCACAAGATTCTAATAATTCCTATGCTGAACTTCATCGATTTCAGAAAATTTTGCTCGAAACTCTTGTTGCTTTTAATTATTTCATCCAGTGGTTCAAACGATCAGGGTAATTACCAATAGGTGTAAATTTCCTCATTTAATTTTATTTGATTAAATTAATTTGATAAATTTATCCAATATTTTATTTTAGCTAGGTGGGACCTTCATGTACATGTGGTTGTTATCTCGGTGTTGTCACGACCTGAAGAGAAGTGGTCTAGTGGTTGAAGCATAAAGCTTTCGATTATGAAGTTTTAGTTTTTAGCATAGCCACACTTAATTCTTTCTTGAACGCTGATTGCTGCCATTTGTCATTAGGTTGGAAGGTTGACTTCAAGCTGGCATATTAGTCCCTGTATTTGGTCGCTTGTTAGTTGTACTACTCTAATTTTTAGTGATATATCCTGCAGTGTTTTTAGATAAGTGTTTTGTTAGTCTATGGGTTACAAAATCTATCCTATTATTCTGGCTATGCCTTCTTGTTTTATTTCATCAGAAACGCGTATCAGCCACACCGTTTTCTTAAAACACATATCGAATGTCAAGTTTAAGACTAAATAACTCAAGAGATGTTTGGTCTATGAATACTAAGTTTGATAGTCATCCGATAGTTTATACAGCGGATATCAATTAGAGATAGTTGAACAACAATTCTCGTATACTTAATGTAAAGGGAAGATTGTTGGATTTCATGGTGTACATCACATACTAACTTTGGTCAGACTACTATTCCATCAAATACCGAACTCGGAAATCCAAGGCCTCACAACTCATTAGTTTAGAGATTAAGTGTTTAAGAGTCCCGTACTATCACAAAACAGCTATCTAGCTCTTCTTGGTTCATAAAGTGAACTATAAAATTCTTGTGTATATTTTTTCACTTTAATGCTTACAAAATTAATTTACTGTTTCTCATTTATCTTGTTTTTAATTTTTATCAATTGATTATTTAGAGAAAATATAACTTTAAATCCTTCAATATCTATTGACTGGTTATGTGCTGCCGATCGGGCTACTACTCTTAAAAGACCTCAAGAAGCTCATTTATTTCTGGAATTAGCCTGGCTATCAGAGTAAGCTGGTTTTGATTGAGATGTTTAATTAAATTTGTTAATTTAATTTAAATGTTAAATTAAATTAAGTCTTCTAATCCTATAAGCAGTAGTATTTTTATTCCTATCAAATTTGTTTGCTGTATGTATTCTATGTAGTGTAAAGAATCTTCTCATATATTATTAAAGTAATAAGTTGAATGATGATAGTCACTCAGTATAATACTGAGTATGAGTAAGAGCTTGTATTTTCCGAGTATCATTAACACGTTAACATTTGTTCATGCTCACTAGTCCTAAACTCCGGTACATTGACATTCAAGTGATTACTTCAAATGTTTTATCGATAACGTACGTTGAACTAATATTTTGATTATGTCGTTATCATATAAAACGTTTATCATTCGTCACTTCAGAAAAAATTTTATTTACTCGAAAAGCGAATTCAATAATCTTGACCCTTAAAAACAAACTAATCCACTTAATTTTCATAATTCCTATGGACGACCTTAAAGAGGTGCTAATGTGACGTTGAGAGATTTCAATTAAATAGAGTCGGAAAATTCAGGTTATAAATTAGTTCGAGGAATAGAGATTAGAGTTAGAATTTATATCACAAACTGACATCCGTAGTGCTTGCATACTACTTAGTCATGTAAATAGATGAATTTCGCACAAAGCCTATTGTCTTCGGTCTGATAAATTCGTCTACGAATTATAGTCCAGCCATCAATTGAAAATAATATTTCGTTATTACCAATATATGTATGTATATTATACTATATATATAGATGTGTTTTAACAACTGATTTTTTTTCTAAAATAAATTCCTATTATTAAATATAGTAATTGTCCCAATGATTGGATAACAATTAATGAAACAGTTCATCGTACATGGGTTAATCTTTGTTGTTTATCTGGAGATTTAATGGGTTTAATTGCATCTCAAACAAGTTTTCTAACCTTGAATAATCCTGAAAAATCTATACATTTTGATGTGCATCCTCTTTTAGATAAGACAAAGTAAGCAAAAAACTCAATGAAAATTTTCATTTTAACAAATGATTTTATTTTTTTATTTTACTTTTGAATAAATTCATGTGGTTTTCTTAAAAATAAATAAACAAATATGATTTTATTTATTTCTGCTCAATTAGTCGTCTGTAAACTATCATACTTATGTTATAGTTCTTAGCCTATCTTGTGCACATTTGCTGACAACATTGTGCCTAGTATTAGAGTCAATCTAGGGGCAGCCAGACCAAAACATGGCAGAAATCCATGAAGTCACTGACAACTGAACTGAGTCATGTTGATGTTTTTAGACTACCTTGTTAGGGTCTGCGAGACGAAAGTCACCAATGGTTAGGGACCTTGAACGACTTGGCTCAATGCCGTTTGCGATGGCGCAAGTGCATCCATTCGTTGTTTTACTCTCTCAAATCCTAATCTTCGTCAGCAGCTCTACCTTTGTCTTTCTAACCTTATCTTACTGAACTATACTTCTTGAATAATATCTTCAAACCCTAGTCCTGTTCATTACCATTAATACCTCTACTATCTTTGTCACTATGGGATTTGATTTGACATTTGCGTGTCTGTGCTAATGTGGTATGGCAACCTGAACTTATGTACATACGCACGACATTCTGCGTTGCAACTGACTGATTAGAGTCAATATAGAAAACATTGACAACTGGTCATGTTACTTTCTGATCAATATTCATTGTCATCGAACGTAGATCTAGAAATTTCTATGAATAATTCCTTCTTTTTATCTCAAAGTATACGCTTAATTCAAATGAACGATTCAAAAATTCCAATCTCAACTTCAACTACTAATCATTTGTTATTTTATTTTTTTTTCTTCTTCATATCCCTTTACTTATTCATTTATGCATATAGATTAGCAGTACATGAATTATTGGGTAATTGGTCTTATTTACTCAGTTGTTATGATAAGTATGATTTAAGTCAACAACTGGATTCTTCATCAATTAGTGTACATTCGAAATTAGCTGTATGCTTACAACGTTTAGGTGCTAATCGATTATTTGAAAAATTCAGTTATCATGAGTCGATAGATTCAACAGGTAATTAATTACATGTTACATTATATATGCATATACTCATATAATTTTCAATTCTTGAAGTGTGGTTAAAATATTAATTAGTTAACTATTTGTAAATACTATTGTTTATTAAATACTTTTGTGTTTTAAATTCTAGTTCAATTGGTCTAGGATATCAATAAAGTATTGTTCAGTCAATATATATAATACATATGTAAATTTCTCTCTATATAGTTCAATTTAGGCAGTCTTAATAACCTTCAAATCTGCATACACAAACCTGTACTCCAATAATGATCGGTCAATATCATGTTTGTTTACTCCTTAGCGCTAATCGAATTTTATAGATCAAGTTACAATACGATCGTGAAACTATTTTAAGTCAATTCCAGGAGTTAAATTCTTAAGTCGTTTTATTACCACTCCTATATATTACACCTATTCTATTCCATTTTTCTTATCTATGCTCTATAATAGTCAACAAACAGTCAGATATAACATTAAAAGAATTGCGAGCAGCTGCTGCATGGCGCCTAAGCCGTTGGGATGATCAGTTGAATGATTTACCTAATTTAGATCAGTCATATTCCAATTCGATTTGTCCACCTACAAATTGGAAAAATTGTGGTATGGAAACTTCTTTTTATTGGCTTTTACGAGCTGCTTCACAATCGAATTGGTCTAGAGTATCAGAAATAGCTACTGCTCAAAGGTATATGGCTCATTCAGTTTTTTTGCATGCAATACTTATTTCCTATTTTTATTCAAAGTTCTTTAATTGATGTTTGTTCAAAACTAATGCAAGAATCCAATCGATCAGTATTATCGCCCTCATTAAATCTGTAAGAGAAGCATTCAACCTTGAATAACATTAAATTATTATTTGAATAAGAGATGATTATTTTTTTAAACTTTAATCATGGAATGGATAGTATTTTTGTGTTGACGTGTGATCTCAGTAGAGAGCGTTTTGTTAGTCAGCTTTTAATCGGAAAACAATATTCAGTTTAAATTAATGAGATTTTTCGTTGAATAATAATAAAGCAAATCGTGATCTTTTAAAAAGTTATTCATAAAATTAAAGGTTAAGGAAGTGAGCTTTCAACCAATAGGTTATATGTTTAAACCCTATCCTAGCTAATTCATTTGTGCCGATAAACCCTTATACAAACAGTCTATCTCATTCGTTCATAACTATTGCTATTTTGTGAATTTTTGATGTAAATGTATATTTAGTCTATTTCATAGATAGAACTCTTCTGATAACAACAGAATATCACAGTTAGTATCGTAACTTTTATTATATTCTCATGACATAAGTTATGTTTCCATGGATTGGTAACGCATCTAATTTTCAATGTTCAACATATGTGCGGTACTAATCAATTTCGGCTATTTTTTCATTCATTTATTGATGAATGGTTGGTGTATCATATGAGCATTACTCTCACTAATTTAATTTCAATTTTTGGTTACTTATTCACATGATACCTTTGAATGCTCTGCGGTAAGATGTTCATTGTAGACATGTATAGATCGCTTCAAATAAAATTCTCTGTAAAAATCATGCTCTACAATATGGCTTCCACCTATTAATCAAACAAAGCGATTCTTTGGAAATGATTGATATTGTCTTTTTATTAAACATTGAATAGAAAAGAATAATTAATTGTGTATTATTTTCAAATTACAAACCTTTTTTGCTTTAAATTTTCTTTTACTAGTGAAATTTTTATTCAAGAATTATACTCTGATGCAGTGCAATTTATCTCTTCGGATCAACTTATTTTACATGGACAAAAAATTAATTTTATGAATAGTTTAAAAGAATTAAGTGATCATTTAACACATCCATTGAATCATGAATGCTGGTTAAAATCAACAGTAAATTTATTATGTTATTCATTGAATTCTATCAATTTCTCATCGATACATCATACACACTATGATGATAATCAATCAATATTACATTCTATTGAACCATTTCTTACATTATCCACTAGTTTTATTCATATATTATTATCAAAAAATATTTTTACTAATCATCAAATTACAAATCAATTGAAAAGTTTGTTAATTCATACCTATTTTTATTACGCTGAAATTGCAACATTGAATTCATCGAATTTTCAACTTGTACAAAATTGGTTAGATGATGCTGTTCATTGTCAAAATTTACTTATCACTACTAATTCATCAAATGAATCTTCTTTCACCGGTAGTTTAGATTATGCATGGCAAAATTTAAAATTTGTAAAATTAAAATCATACATAGAAAGAGAACAAAATAATTTAGACTTATCTATTAGTCGACTACAATCTGGTTTAAATATTGGTCGTGAAGTAAGAGTGTCATTGTATTGTGTATCTTTGTTTCTTTTTTTTTATTACAAATAATGATCTATTCTGTGACACGAACTAATTTTATGGTTTGACAACTAGTTCTGTTACATGAACCATGGTTGTTGTTGTTGTTTATCTTGTTGGCAGTGATGTTTCGATGAATACAATCAAACTGTTACGGTTATGCTCGTAAACTTTATTTCAGATGATAAAATGCTTGTTTTTGTTTGTTGAAGTATCAGTTGGTTTTAATCTCTGTAATATTAGTGCAAGTCCTGATTACTATACCTAGTGACTGTGATTTGGTTGTAAGATGATTAGTGGATTCGAGTTGTGATTTTCAAAACAACTATGTGGACATGTTCATTCATTAAAATCATTTAAATTAATTTTTGAAATTGTTTTCATATTGCAAAATAAAAAATTTAACTGTTAAGAATTACAGAAACTCATAGTGATTTTACATACAGTTATATTTGATGGTTTATCTAATTGTTCAGAAGTAAACATGATTGTAGCTGTCAATCAAAAAATCTGATTTTACCCAGTAATCTACCTATCGGCAATGGAAATACACAACTATGATTCTTTATAATTATTATATGTTGTACAAATTACAGTTCTCATGTGAATTCATGTAGCAGATCAAAAAATTCGCGATGGCACAGTCCGTTAACAACGATTTGATACAATACAGTTTGAAATATTTTGGATTATCTGGTTGTTGATATTATGACGAGTCCAAAGCAGAATGAAACACGCGTCTTGGATTCCACCGCTAGCTACGTTCTATCTTTCGAATATGAACGACTTGATAATTAGTAAAACTTTACTTTAAACGCGGAATCCATGATACGTTATAGCTTAGTATGATGTTAGCACTCAATTTTAATTTTGAATTAATGTCTCTCTGTGTTAGGTTTTTGCCTTTTTTTCATTCTAACATCCATTTCATCTATACATTTCATGCTTTTCATTCATGATCAAATGGTTTACTTAGGTGATAGAACGGGCAGACAAGTCATCTGAATACTTAGATGGTTATGTAAACTGTTATATTCATGGTATGACTGTTTTATGTAATTGGTTATATGAATCTCGAACGAAAAGTGCCGCTGATCTCTTACTCAACTATATTAACCCTGTAAGTTAGCTGTATTTAATATACGAATTCACTGATCGATATTTTTGTCTTTCGTCTTTTACTCAATCTCATGAGTTTGAATATATTAGGTGTTTCTTTATGCATCATCAGATTTTGTCATTTGTTTTGTTTTGAGGAAGTGATGGTAACGATGTATTCATCAATATTTAAATAGTTACATATAACAATGAAATATGACTTTAGTGTTCTCAGTAGCAGGTAGGGATCGACTAGCGATAAATTTGACTTTCAATGAGTAGAAGGCAATTAAGTCGACTAAGATGGTCTGTACACGTATTACTAATGATCGTCCAACGACTATTTTGATGCGTGATGACGTCTGTCTTAGTAATAGGGTGAAAGAGATTAGGAGCAGCTGAACCGAGTCATAGAACCAGCCTGTGGAGACACTGAATGTTGGACTAGGCCATGTAAGTAGGGACAGACAAACCGGCGGGAGTTTGTGTATGTTGACCGAAGGTTAAAGGTTTTCGGTGATATGCCTCGAAATCGTTTACAGTGACGCAGATGCATCCACTATTCATCTTCCCTTAGATACTAAGTTTCTAAATTCCGCATTGAAATTTTCTGTTCCACTGCTTCATATTTATCGAATCCTGTTGTGGATGCCTGATATTTTCTATTACCACTAATAGTTATACTACTTCTGCTACTGTAGGATTTATTTGACAATCTCATCTCGCTATACTAATAGATCGTGGCAACTTGAGCCACTGTACTTATATTCCATGTTCTACGTTGTACATGAGTGACCGAATTCGGTGTTAAGGTCTTCTGGATTACTATGAGCTGTATTGAACTACTGTTATCTTCTGATGGTACGTCGCAGAGAGTTATGTTCTGTGTAATCTAATCTGTGCAATAATAAAGGGCAATAAACGACGATTTATAAACAGATAATACAAACTTACCAGCTTACTTGAGTTTTCACATGATCAGAATATGACTTTCATTTTGTAATGAATTGTGCACCATAAAATCACACATACAGAAAACATCTAAGACTCGTTTCAATTTGGAATTTTACTTTTGGGTTATACGTTTGTTTCAGTATAACGGAATAAGATGTGAATACTTTCACTGTGATTAGTAAAAGTCAAATCATTTGTTTTGTTGAGCTTTCTAACAATCCCAAATATAACCATTTTCATATTCTCTTTTACATTTTTCAAGCAGAAACTCGTCCCTCAAAGCAGTGATTAACTAGTTCAGTCATCAGGTTTCATTTTTAATTCCCATTACATCTAAACTAGTCTTAGTCTCTCTAACCATCTGAAAACTCAAAATCAAATATACTAGCTTGTACTTACTAACTGAGTTACACCATCTTTTTCATTTCCAATGTAGCACTGATGGTGTTTTCCCTTTAGTTCAATTTTAGAGACATTTTAAGCTTGTCCTAATTATCAATTAATTAAATACATTCTGATTTATTTAGCTGTCGTATCTTTCCATTATTCAAATTAATTGTGATTTAATGCTTAGTAAATAATTGTTTTGTAAATCATTTCATATTGTTTTATTGGACTGGTGGAAATGACCAGTTTCTATTACAGTACTTAACTTCATTTTCATTGAATTCTCTTTCAAATGATCCTACTTTTATAGGCTATTAGTTTGGCTCAACGTTTAAAATTGGATGCTGATGCGAATGCTTTTATGAGTTTGGCTAGATTTTCCGATGCTCAGTTTACTACTTTAAATTCATATTTAACATCATCTGAATTCGCAACTAGACAAAACTTTCTTACACAAGCTCAAAAGGATGTTGTTGTCTTATCAGACTTAGGTGAAAAAAGGTATCACTTCATGTGTTTTTTTGATATAAATATTGATCCAATTTCCTTTGGTGTTTTCTTTATAGAATATAAGTAAAAAAACGGTTCGACAAGTGAATTTATGAAAAGTAACCCCTGACTTCCAGAACAGTGGTTGTAAATAACGCTTATTTTATAAGGACTCTGCTACTGCATATTATATACAGAAGAAGAATTAAGCATGTTTGAACTCGTGATCTTACACAACACTTGATAGATGGTGATCGACAATTTTGATCACTAAGGATGGACATTCTTATTTCTAATTAAACCCAATAAACTTGTCTTCGCCTTACTAGCTAATCATGGTTTAATTTGAACGACACATTAACAGAAATCTCTCTTTGTATGTATTTTCTAATTACTGTAAGTAATTGTATACTTAAAATCCGCATATAAATTATCATCCGGGTGTCCATTTTACCCTCTTCTATATGAACATAATTCGTCTCACTCATAAATAGTGTAAAATTTGTCCTACTTATGTGTATCGACCCATTTTGTATTAGTTGCTGTTTAACCACTATTTCAGTCAGAAATAATTGTTTATTAAAAATATATTTGAGTAGAATTCAACTACTCAGTAAAATACCATTATTATAACACGTATCAGGCATACAGTTTTTATTATAGACGGTAATTGTTACAAGTTCAGATCCTTAACTATTTTCTTCGCTTTGTTTTGACGCTGCTTTTAAATCATCAACATTACTGTAATCCTATTTTCATACATATTTATAGAGATTCCTCTTGTTGATATTTACTGTAACATGTGATCATAAAATGTGACAATTCACTTTCTGTTCAGACTGTACATACTTTTTTGTTTTATACCTGTTAGTGGAGTTGTGTCCATGTGGTTAAAACATTTGACTTTCACACTAAGAGTATGGCTCCTAGCCAGCTACATGAGTCATTATACGTATTATCCTAGTCGGAAAATGATCGTGAATAATATCGATTTTCGGTCGATATGATCATTTATGTTCGATTCTACTTTCGGAATCGTGGACGCTCATTACTTAGGAGCCTCATACTACGGTGAAACGGCTGTATAGTGCTTCTAGGTTTTCAATGTTTGTTTAAACTTGATCAGTTTGTGATTTCACTGATTTTTTTATTGTTGAAACGTAACCACTTGATGGTATAGTAAATCTTTCATCATCGTTTTGGCGCAAGTGCATCCATTTGTTGCGCTCTCTCAAATCCTAATTTTCTGGACTCGTCAGCACCTCTACCTTTATCTTTCTAACCTTATCTCACTGAACTATACCTCTTGAATAATATCTTCAAACCCTAACCCTGTTCATTACCATTAATACCTCTACTATCTTTGTCACTATGGGATTTGATTTGACATCTGCGTCTCTGTGCTAATGTGATGGTATGGCAACATGAATTTATGTACATGCATACGAAGTTCTACGTTGCAACAGACTGACTGACTGACATCATCGTTTTAGCACAGAATTTTTCATATGCAGATGAATTGGCATGAAATTTTGAAAGTTGTTTATTTTAAGTATGTATGCTTAGATTAAACAGAATTATTTGTAACTGTTTAAAAAACAAGACAGATCACTTTTTATTTTTGATTCTATTGCAATGAATTATCTTATCATTTCTTTCTATTTCTCGTTGTATTGTCATAGTCGTTTATTACGATTACTTCAACGTCAATCAGCGTTGGAAACTGATGAACTAAGTGCATTAACAACCGATGCAAATCATTTTTTAGAAACTGCAATCGATGCATATGCTCAGTGTTTAGCTCTATCAGACGATCATAATTTAACGGTACAGTTGTTGTGTTAATGCATTGAAATTTAATGGTTTTCTTTTTTTTCACATGAAAATTCATTAACTTATTTCTTAATCACTCTCAGAATTTACAAGAAGTTAAAATATGGGATTTGCAATTTCGCTTTCTCTTTTAGACTCATCACTATATTTTTAAAAAAAAAATTCATATGAACTCATTGATTTCCATAGAGCAACTGGCTAAAAATTACTGCTCATATCTGTCAATATATCTTTTCCACGAAACAAAAAAACTATCACAATCGATTCACATTTATTATTATTAGTAAGAAAATTATGAAATATGGTCACATTGTAGCTAAATCTAAATCTTTTCGAGTGATCTATCGTATACCTCCATCATTTCCGAACGGAGTTCGATCCCGTCTCCTACACATTGCAGAAGCTATAGGAATACGTACATTCAGCCCTAATTTATGTGTTCAGAAGAAATTCGTGACACCCCTATCTCTTTCGTGGCCGGATATGACGTAACTAACGATTGACATTATATTTTTTTTTTATTTTTACACATTTGCTTATTACGTAATGGTTTTGATGTTTTTTAATGATTATTTGAAGTCTGTTCATCCACATTTGACCTACTATTGATAGAACCTTAGTAATCATATGTTATAATTTTCTTATTACTATCAGTACAACTGTCTTCCTACTATCCAATTGTACGTTTGCCTATTATATGTAGTGACGTAATCTTTTTCATTTCATTGCAATTATTGACTCAAATTGCCTTGATTGGTTTAACATTTTCATATAAATATTCATGTATATTAGAGTAAAGCCTGATGACTATCTAATCGAAAACAATATTGTTCGCTTATATGTGTTGTTCTAATTTATCAATATATCACTGTTCAATTTCTGATCTTTGTAAATCTTCACACTGTATACAGTTTGTTACATAAAATGAATAATTTTCACAAAATAATCTTAACCAAAAAATATTCAAAGAAGATGAAGTAGATATGTAATTATCGTGTGTTTATTTGTCTTTGGAGGAAGTAGAACAATAAAAACTGCATGATTGACAGTTGTAGAAACATCAGGCACTTTGTTGTGATGACATTATAACATGTGAAAACATTCATTCAAAAGTCTACAACCTCAAGTATGAAATGATTTATCTTATTAGATGTTTTAGTAGATAAATAGCGTAACAATATTATATAGAATTGTATTTATGTTAATTTCAAATCTATATCATCCATTTAAGTGAACTAAGGACAAGTTTTAATTTAATTAGGTTATTGATTTTTACACTGGTAAGTTTTACTTTCTAAATCTTGTTTTTTTTGTCTTCTTTACATGCTCATTCTAGATTTTTCGCTTCGTTTCTTTGTGGTTGTCTTCGATCGATTCGAAGTTTCAAAACAGAGCTTCAAAAATTAACAAGATAATGTCTGAACGACTGCCAAATATTCGCGCTGATAAATTCCTTCCTCTTGTTCCACAATTAGCTGTACGATTATCAAGCAAATGTGACACTGATTCATCTTTTCAAAATATTTTAATGAAAGTGGGTTATTCAACAGTAGTATTATTATCATATATGGTTTAATTTAAGTTTTTTATAGTCTTCAATAGTTCTCTTTTTTATGCCTTGCATTAATTGCTGTACTTTTGTCTAACAATCGCAAATATGTGATACCATAACAAAATATACCTAACGGTCAGTACCTTTTGTTTTCAATAGTCTATATACTAAACTGTAGAAGAGTAATAGCTTGACGGTTAATTTACTCGGTCGTTAAGTTTTAGGTCTATGTCCTACTTCCCAAGATTTGGTTTGTTAACAACCAAGTATTGTTAATATCAATCCTACAACGGCAAAATATAACTAAAAGCTCTACATATTTCACTGTCAATGAAAAAACAAAGTGATTAACTAGAGTCTGTCACGTGACTTTTTTTTTCTTTATCATCAATAATATTGGTTGTTTTCAATTCGCTTTACGTAGCATTACCCATACGACACCTATTGTATGAGGCATCAATTAATATTTATAGGGTAATGGAATATTTATAATATTCTGACGAGTAAAAAACTAGTACTTTCTGACATTTCGTGACTGGATGTAAACCTTTTCTTGTTCTCTAAACAATTAGTTTACACTACATAACATTGCTTCAAAAAAATTTAATTTTCCTACTCATTAGGATATTTAGTAAAAATATGTTATTTTTATTATTATTTAATATATCTAATACTCAATTTACTTGAAATTATCAAGTTAAATCTTGCTATTGATGCCGATATATTCACAATGCTGAAAATGATCTAAAGTTAGTGAAGGTTTGATACTCGAATATTGTTTGTCTGTTTTTTTTTAAAGATTACGTTAAGAAATTATCATCATTTGTTAACAATAATGATTGTTCAATACATCATTGATAACTTTATTTTTGATGAATAGTAAACAGTATATTCTACTACATTGTTTTCTGTTTCTTCCAAAAAACAAAATATTTTAGTTAATAGAACGAATAGTTGATTGGCATCCTCATCATTCCGCGTTTACTCTACTATTTCTTGTCAATGCTAAGTTAGATGATGATGATGATAATAACAGTGATCGTCTTCCTCATCGTCAGTCAGTTCAAAGTTCCGGTCGCCAACGTTCAATTCGTGTGAATTCACTCAAAGCATCAAGTGAAGCAAATCCTAATAAGGTTCGTTGATTTATTACTCATTTACTTACTCCTGTTACCCCCAATCGAGCATAGGCCGCCGACCAGTGTTCTCCAAGCTACTCTGTTCTGGGATTCCCATTCCAGTTCTGTCCAATTTTCGTTCATTTTTCTCATGTCTTTCTCTATTTCTCGGAGTAATGTGTTTCGTGGCCTTCCTCTTTTCTCTTTACCTTGAGGGTCCCAAGTGAGAGCTTATCTTGTGACGCAGTTGGGTGCTTTCCACAGTGTGTGTCCTATCCACTTTCACCGCTTCTCTCTGATTTCCTCCTCCGTTGTAATCTGGTTTGTTCTCTCCCACAGTAGGTTGTTGCTGATGATGTCTGTCTGACGGATCCGAAGTATATTGCTTGGACAACTGATAATAAATACTTTTATCTTCTGGGTGATGACTTCCATAGTTCTCCAAGTTTCTGCATCATACAGTAGAAATATCTGGACATTTGTATTGACAATTCTGATTTTGGTGTTGAAGACTTTACCTGGTATTGAGAGAAGAGTGACTGCACCTTAGTTCTCACACCTGAGACCGCCTTTCTTTGGTCTTTTGATGAAGTATCCTTCTTTCTAGTCTGCTGGTGTTTTTTCTTCATCCGGAATCTTTTTGAAGAGAGTGTAGAATATTTTTGCAGTTGCTGCTACGTCTGCTTTCATTGCCTCTGCTGCGGTGTTGTCTGGTCCCACTGCTTTACCACTCTTGATTTATCTGATGAATGTGCTGATCTCTTCAATCGTTGTCGGGCCATCTCTGCCGTATAATAATTTTAGATGCAAAATGTTTTTCTAAAAATTAGCAAATAAATCAAACGGAGACTAAAATAAGATAAAGATAAAATGAATTATTTTATACGACCGCAGCCGATTTCGAATTATATTATTATTATTATTATTATTATTCTAGTACTTTGATGAGCAGTTTTGCATTACAAATCCTTCGATTGTGTCTACAAGTTTATACAGTATGTTGAAGTTTATATGTTGCAAGAACATAAAAGTTTGTTTGTGTCTACATCTCTGAGCACATTGCACAAAGCTGGGATCAAAAAGACAAAATTTTTCCAGTAATCCGGTTACTTAGCATTTACTTGATAGTGAACATGATACTCATGTTTCGAATTTCTTCATGATAACTAATAAATGAAGAAATTCTAATTTATTACGCCTTGCTGAGGCAGTTGCTGTAAAGTGATTCAACCTAAATTTAAGGTTCGAAAAAGACAATTATTCTCATTTTATCTTAGTGGACTCAGTTTACATTCACCGAGCGCCATACTAATTGCAATCAATAGAAATAAGTGATCTTGTTTTCAAAGAAAAATTACCGTGTGACTATTTTACTGTGAAAAAGCTTATGTTTAAAACAGTTATTTCTGTTTACCTCTAATAAGTTTAATGTAGTTGAATTGAAAGTACTTCAATCAATGCTACACCTTCAAAGATGATCATTGATTTTTGGTTTAGCGGTCAATATACTTGGATTTAAACCGCTTGCTTATCAAATTTGAACCGTTAGTTCACATTCTCTTTGGACATTCGCGTACTGCTGCTTGTATTTACGTCAGTAATGTGGCCTCAAGCGGAGTGCTCAGGGCTCTACCTGATAAATGAGTTGCTGTATAGTGTATATTTTAACATAGAAGCCTATGAATAACATTATTATCACTTGAAAACTTTCATATATACGTATATTATTATGCTTTACAATGAGTGTAGAGTCCTATTTGCCGCTAATATAAATAATATCTTTGTTGGTTTTTTTGAATTTCAGTCATGCACAGAGCTAAGTTGCCGTATACAAGCTGCTCAACAACTATATCACCGATTATCTATTGGTCGACATAAAGAACTATTATATCAACTGCAGTATTTAGCCGAAGCTTATGTTAATTTTGCGAATACAGATGTTGATAAATATAAAACTAATACAGGTAACATATAATAACTGTTAATTATTGAGTTAGTACCAAAAACTCTTGGTAAACGACGTCCTTGCATAGTTTCTATAAATTAAACACATATCCTACTGATATCCTAAAGTTTTTATGTTTAATCAAAAATAAGCACATTTTTCTTTACAATTTTTATTGTAGAATAGTAAAAGAGTGTATTATTTTATCAATATCATTGCTGTAATTGTTGAAGTTCTTATTAATAATAGTTAAGACATATCATATGTTCCGAGCACTGTATGTTTCTCCCAAGTTCGCTACTTAGTAAGCAACAGCTTATCTTCACCGAACCTTGCGCTGAGCTTTAGCTACTCATTGGTAACCTTTAACACATGCTACTCGAAAAGAAATATCTTTTGCTCTATTCATTCCTTTATTAAATGCCTGAATGAGAATGCTCGGTATAATAGCTTATTTGTTTAATTGCATACACAAAATGATAGATGAAGGTTTTGTTTCACCTTTTTTTACTAACGTACCAGTATAAACTAATCAATCATATAGTTCGGTTACATTTTCTTAACGTGAGTTAAAATAGGCTTTAATGAAGACAACTTTTGAAATATTATAAACACTTGAACGTACATATTTACTTGTACTTACAGCAAATAAGAGGATCCAATGTAATAAACTTTCTGAATACATGTCAAAACGATTTGACTGTTAGTACTTCTAGGCTGCTCATGAATATGTGTCAGATAGTAAATCCATTCACAGCTTTCTGAGCATTCAATAAACAAAATGTGGGAAACTAGATTAGCAGTGGTTCGCTGTGTCAACATTAACTGACGCTTGTGAAAATATACTTTTTTATTTTCTATGAACACATTACATACACAGCATTATACCGGTATTTCATGGTATTACATTACTGCATCTGCTTAATATATTACCCGAATATAATTAAACTGTATTTAAATGCCAATTATAGGTAATTAGAGTTATCTTATGGTGTCATAAGGAGAAATTGTTTTTTTATTAATCTATTTACTTAACCTTCCACGCTATTCAATCAAATATTTTGGTCTTCATCAATGCATTCTAAACTTACACACATGATAAATATATATCTGTCTACCATCATAATTGTAATTTTCCACTTCAGGTAATATCCCTCTTCCGAAAGAATGTAAATTGTATGGCTTGATATCACCAAGTTTACAACGTACTTCATGTCATACAATGGATTGCCTACTAGAACTTGTTGCCCTGCCAACATGCACTTTTCCTATTGATCGTTCAGGGAAATATCCGAATTCTAGTTTAATTCGTGTGGCAGGATTCTCTCCAGACTTTCGTCTCGTTGGTGGAATTAATTTACCAAAGGTTATCAGTTGTTTAGGTACTGATGGAAAATTATATCGACAGTTGGTAAAAGGTAAAGATGATCCAAGGCAAGACGCAGTTATGCAACAGGTTTGTGAAACATTCTACGTTTACATTCAATACTGAAAAATTGTTTGACCTTAACCGTTATTTATTTTCAACTTTTGGTTTATTTATTTATATTTTCAGGTTTTCACTGCTGCTAACTGCCTTTTAGCGAAATATCGAAAATTTAATAAAACTGATTTACCACACTCTTCAACCTCTCAAGTTAATTTACTTAAATATCGTGCTAACTGGTTGGACATGGATAATGGACTTCGCATACGCACATATAAGGTTAGATTATAATTTATTGTACAAGCGAGTGTTCTTATTCTGATAGTAGGAAACTAAGTCACTTGTAACTTCTCTTTATCTATGTTGATTACTGTTATTTATCATAAATCGTTTCTTTTTATACTTTAGGTTATACCAATGGCTCAGCGTAGTGGTGTTATAGAATGGTGTGAAGGTACTGTACCACTGGGCGATTGGTTAGCCAATGAGCGTACTGGTGCTCACCAGCGTTATAGACCTCGTGATATGCCTCCAGTTCAGGCTAAACAACGTTTAGCAGTTGCCAAAGATAAAACTCCTGATCGTAAATTAGTAGTATTCAGTGAAATATGTGAAAAATTAAAGTAAACTATTTTCTCTTTTTTTTTTAGCATATTTGTTGCTTATATCTTACTTTTATTCCGTAAATAATAATGTAAACGATTATGATTAGTATATAGTAAGTTACTTCAAGCATAATCTGTTTTTAATAGTTGTGTCAAGTTAGTCTTATAATTTTCTGAGGCGTAAGGCATAAGAATCTGACTATTTTCTTTCTGTGCGCTTTGAAATTATTGAAAATAATCAATTGTATATTTGAAGATTATAGTCATCTTTTATTTTTTACATACCCCACAATGTCTACTTGTTTTTTACATGCAAAACTCTATGCATTTTAATCGGGTGTTTGGTACTGTTTTCCAATATCGAATGTGTTTTTGTTTCATTGATATATTCTTTTTCTCCCTATCACCACTAGACCAGTGCTTGCTTACTTCTTTTTGGAACAATTTCCTAATCCGGAAAATTGGTTCATCGCACGAATGGCCTATATTAGATCTATTGCTGTGAATAGTATCGTTGGCTATCTTGTCGGATTAGGCGATAGACATCCACAAAACATATTATTACATAAATCCACCGGTGAACTTGTTCATATTGATCTTGGTGTAGCTTTTGATCAAGTAAGATTGTAACATAGTGCTTATTGATTGAAATCATTTCATAATTAAGTCAGTTATTGATAGTGTTGTGGTTGTTTTACTTTATTATTTTTTTTACAATTTTGTTATTTCTTCCCATCGTTTCTATTATGTTGATTTGTTTGTTCACGCTGAACAAAGAGAAAGGTTGGATTTTTTTCAGTCACTAAAAATTTATGAGTCTTGAAATCCGATGTGAGAAAAAAATAATCATCCAGAGATCTATTTAATTGAAATTGTTTTCAGTATAACATCATTTTTTTTATCAGATTTAATGAATTATCATCTAGTTTTTGTATCTTAACTGCTGATTTCATGTAGTCATGATGTTTTCTTTGTTTTAGTTTATTGTGCAATTTTTCGACCTGTTTTCTTCTTTTCTAAATGGTACCAGTTGACTTTAGCCAACTAATGACTACGTCGATCATTTTACTCAATTTTCTTCCTAATCATTTACACAGACACGTTTTGTTATATCAAGGTTGATTTATGGATTATTATTATTATTATTGTATAAATTTTCTATTATATTTATATTCTTCTGGTCATGAACTCCTGATTAACTCATTAACTAATTCCAAAGTTTCAACTGCTTCCGTGCTCTCTAATCAGTGTATGAATTATTATATTAATAATATATTTAGCTCTATCAAACCACCTGTGACTTATTTACACTGGCTTTCACATAAATGAAAAATTTTACACATCTTCCGCTTTTGCACTCCTCAAACCCGTCGTTCTATAGTATTAATAGTTTTAAAAATGATATCACCGATTATTGTTGTTTTCAGTGATTACATCTTAACTGACTGACAGCTATCACTAATTTAAATCCAGGTTTGAACATGGGTATAGTCAGAGACAATTTGTTCTTCAGCATATACTGTATCTTCATATGCTTAGGCGAAAAAAGTGATCATCCAGGAATATTGAATGCATATTTCAATAAGACTTTAACTATCTAATTCCTTTATCAGTATTAATGGTCACTTCCTCAAAATTTGGCGTTAGCGCTATAGAAAAAAATCTAATCGTTTTAATTAAATAAACTTTCTGAACCTCAATTACTATGAGCGTTCATTGTGTTCAATATATTATTATGTGAATAAAAGTTGACAAGATATTTTTATCTTTTTTTCGAAACATTAAATTTTTTTGCAGGGTCGACTTTTACCAACTCCAGAAATGGTTCCTTTCCGATTAACTCGTGATCTTGTTCACGCCTTAGGTCCATTAGGTTTACAGACAAGATTCATTCCAGCTGCTGAAGCAGTATTACGAGAGCTTCGAAATGGATCTGATGTTATTATAACTTTATTGCAGGTAAAATATTTCATAATTGTTATTATTCTTAATGATGGAAACTTTATTCTTTATTTTTTTGTAACACTGTTTTCTACATAGTTTATTGAGATATTCATTTCTCGAGATAATTTTCACTTTTATAATCTAGGTTGTATTGACATTTTCCCATAGCTGATTTATTGTATCATTTAGCGATAACCTTCATTACGGTCTAACTCACGTGGATGTGATAGCATTTTGTAAACCCCCGATTAATTGCATCATGAAACTTCAACATTTTTGACCGAATGATTACGTCAGGACTATTAACGCAGAAAGGTTCACCACATAATGGCACGCTTCCCGTCTCATATAATAATTAATGTTCTCACTGAGATTCCCGTCTATTCCTTACATGTTTAATCTGTAAGCAGTTATCTTTGTTAAGTATTTATGATAGGCACCAAGCTGTTTAGTGAGACTGATCTAATTCAATCTTAAATGTCAACAACGGCAAAAGACAAGCCCCTATTACTAATAACAAATAAACTACCATTCTACATGTGCACTTGTAAATAAAGGACTAGATTTCTATTATGGTGGAGAAAACTTGTAGCTCAGGTGGATGATTGTGGTGGTGTTTCGTTCTCTGAGCTGGTTGTTTTGGTCGTGGAGCTTTGATTGTTCTTCTGTCAAGAATTTATTCATTTTGTTGATTTTAATCAGATAATCGACATGGCTGAATGGTACCTACTGTTCAATGGCATGTCATATCAAAAAATAACCAAGCAAAAAAACATCTGTGGTTTTAGGTATTTAAGCCAGCAACATGTTAAGTACTATCACAATATTCACTTGATAATTTCCAAATTATTGTTGTTGCTGTTTTTTTGTCTCTGAACTGTACTAATCGTAATAATTTTAATGGGTGATAATTAGTATTCAACCAGTCATTTTGTGATGAGTATGAATATTTCGCTCACTGTATTTGCTTTGTTTGTATGATATTTTTTTTTCTAGTCAACAGTGATGTTGTTTTTGTATTGAAAAAAATGATTATGCCCATGTATTATCGATTGTGTTCTTCTTGTTCAGGTTCTTCTTTATGATCCATTGTATTCTTGGTCATTATCTCCAGCTCAGCTGTGTGCTTTAGAGGCTAAACGAGCTGAAACTAATACAATGTTAGACAAATCGAAATTATCTAGTGGTCACTTTTTAGATGATCAATATAGAAATACTGATAAATCTATGAATAAAGAAAATCTCCGAGTAAATGCACCACAACTAAATGAAAATAGTTTTATCTTTCCTAGCAATCAACAGTTACATGATACTGGTATGATTAGTAAAAAAGGTAATCACGAACGAAATAACATAAGTTTTTTTTTTGTTTTATTATCACTTGTTATATGTTTTGTTTGTTTTGTGATTGCTGTCTTTTGGATTGTATTCGTATCAGTGTTTTTCAGATTACAAGTTTTAATATTGAACTACTATTTCAGTTGTTAATTCACTTCATTCATAAATTGTCAAGACTGATTGCCGAACTAGGGTGAGATTTCCTCAAACACATTATTATTATTATCTCTGACACCTTTGGGATCCACATATGACATCACTCTGTTTACCTTTTAATTCATGGCTTTCGCGTTATTGGGATAAAGCTCTTCCTAGGTCCCTTTTAGGGTTACTGCCGATCCCAAGCCGGGATAAAGGAGGATGGTCTGTGATTAAAGAATATTTAAAGTACAGTATGAAGTTTTATGTTGTTGCTGAAAAACATTAATGTAAGTTATTAACTCATGGAAAGCGACAAGCAGTTTGATATAATATAGGAAAACAAAGTATACTGCACATTATAATGGCGTGACTAAAAGTGCAGTACATTGACTTGTATTCATTAAATTAGTTACCTTCATATAATAATCAAGATAATGATGTGCTATGAACTTTTCTAATATTTTGTTCGGCTTGTTTAATTTACATGATCATTCTTCTTAGAACCAGTCAATCAACTTGCTGAACGTGTTCTACTTGGCGTAAAAAGTAAACTTCAAGGTCTTGTCACTGGTAATTTAGTTGTCAATTCAAATGAAACTTCAAATAACTGCAGTGGTGGACTTGATCAACTTGATGTTTCTGGACATGTTGGTTTGCTTGTCCGCGCAGCTACAGATTATTCAAATTTGTCACGAATGTATTTTGGTTGGCAAGCTTACTTATGATTGTGTTACAAACTCTTAGTTCTTTCTTATTATTATTTAATGACTATGTTTCTTTAACGTGTACTTGAATTGTATATCTTATTACTACGATTTGTGTATGTTACTACTCGAATCATGTATTACATATTTTTTTAACTGAAGTAAAACATTTTGTACTCAGAATTCATTTTCATTGCTTAAAATTTGAAAACTGGGCAGTAGGTATAAATTATACAAGTCTGTTTAAAAAGATCCAAGAGTAGGTCGTCTATGCCTTCGGGTGTTATCGAGTAGCATTATATTAACCCAGGCGTCGTGAAATTTCCTGTTGTAAAGATTACGTATTATGTCAAACTCGTGGCTCACTGGTATTGTAAAAAACCTGTCTAAACCCAGGGTTTTTATTAAGGGGAAGTTTCATGAAACCGTAGGCTATGTAATCCACCGTCTTCATACCGTCATGTAAACACAACCAATAATCATCTACATTTCTCGATGCTTTGAACCTACCTTAGTTTGATGTTAAGTTGTAGCAGAAGCTGCAGCCAATGTGCCTAAATTAGTTCGTTTAGGACGAGGCGTTTTCTGGTCACAGAAACTCCAAAATAAGCTTAGAGAAAACCAGACTATGATTAGAAAATATATAAGTACTTCTATAGTAGCGACAGAGCAATACTATTGATAGTTAATTGAAATGTGATCGATCTGACTCCAGGTTCGAAATGAAGAGGGAAGACGGTAGAGTAACACATTGGCGATAACTGTGATGGAATTTGTTGATGGCTATAAACAGGTTGTGATCTAGGCGAAGATACGGGAGACACCGTTTTCTGGTCGGCGATCATTGAGTTCAAGTTAATCATCTGGGTAATTTTCCGCTATATTTACACCTCCTTTGTGGTGGAACTAGTTCTTAATTGCACTATTGCTTCTACCCATCAATTCATATGCTCGCATTACGAGAAAGGATTGGTTCCCACAGGTTTCCTCTCACTTTGATGGAGCCTTACTATTAAATGGTCTATGATTAACTTTTAACGGGGATTTAATCGTTTAATTTAGTCTCTATTATGATACTCACTGCGACGCAAATCAAACCTGACACTGATGGCACAGGCTCCCTGGACAAGCTCACGCAAGACAAACTTTTGAATGGATAGCTGAAGAACAAGTGTGGTGTAGTTTAATTGTCTAGTATAATATTCTCAGAAGTGCTGCGGATAAAGTCAGGTCTTTTTGTTGTCTGACCTTCATCAGTGTGGAAACGTCGAAGGTTAATTTAGATGTTACACTTGGTTTCAGAAAAATCGTATTAGGTGTATTTTTCTTTGACACCATTTATAATCTTAATGTTTCCGCGACTGGAGATATCTTAAACAAGATAGAACTTCGAGTAAATATATTGACAAAAGTAAACAGTAAATAAAGGCAAATAAAAAGATGATGTGATGTGAAATAAATTCATTGGACTTAAATAGACTGACAGCTTCGTTTGAGTTGTTATCGTATAGTTGAAATTTTTGTGAATGAGCAGAGAGATGCAGTTAGTTTATTAGAGAATAATGCCGCCGGCCTTTGACGTGAAGCTCCAACCCACAAGGCAATGGAGAAACGACATATGTATTTCCATGTTAGCCCGTGATAAAGGCAGGTTTGTACGTTATTTGTTTCATCAGGGTCTTCTAGCCTATAAGTATTATTGTTTTGGAATTAGGCTTTTCCGACTCCCTTAAGTAGACTTTCCAGGCCCTTAGAACCGGTCTGCTATTGAGCATCACAACGCGTGAAAGCAGTAAGTGGGATTTCACTGTTGAGGCTTTGAACATGTGACCATGTAATAGCATATGAGGGGGGATGGTAAATTTTTTTAAACACTGACCATACGAAGATATAATCTTAAAATGTATTTACATAAAATGTTAATACTCCCTCACCCACTTACTATCATTTGATTGGTTTGAGTAACCGTAGATTTCGAGATACTTCAGTGTTGTACATTACTCAGAATGCTATCATAGCAAAATACTTATATGAATCTCAGATACCAAACTTCGGATTTGGCACTAACTGAAAATCAGAAATTCTCTCTATGCATTTCTTGTAAATTGTATTACTATAGGAAATTTTTCCCTCAGATTAATGGTTAAAAGACTAAAGATTAGCTTTATGATTTTCATTATGGAGATTGCTATGTCGCATCAAAATCATGAACCATCATTGTTCGACCACTATTAGAAACCAGGAAGCACTGGACAACTGTCTTGTCTTAGCAATGTTACTCATCAGCAGTGGGCATCCGCGAACCGCGCTCGCGGGAATTGGACCCAGGACCCTCGGTCTCTCGCGCTAACTCTTTAGCTCTAGACCACTGAGCTGGCGTTCAACCGTGTTAATGTCTGACTTTTACTTTATCTCAACATCAACTTTCGTGAGTTCAACATTATCTTCAATCAACTTGTAAAGACGGAAACATTATTCTGAAATATTTCCCAATATACGTATGGTTACTCATAAGTAGTATAAACTGAAACTACGTTGATGTTGAGATTTTCAGTTACCTGAAGTAATATCATATTCGAGTTAGTATGCGAAATAGTCAATATCTCAATGATAAGTGAAGCATTTGTTACTGCCAGTTAAGGAATCAAACATTTGACCCAGTAAAAAGTATTGGTTTGCTTCTACACTTAATCTTATTATCTTAGTCAAGTAGATTTATGGATTTGTCAGATATCATTTCTACTTATCAGTATGGAGTTATGGCGAATGCTGAGTTTCATTGAAATTATGTTGGAATAAGACTGATCGATTCATAATTCCTACTTATTTAATGTTTACCACAGAGACAAAGGAAAAAAGATAGACCAAGGAATACACTGCATCGAGAATTGGAAACAGACATGAAAAGAATGAATAGCAATCGGGTAGAAGTGGAAAGGAACGCCTAGTACAGAGTTGGTTGAAGAATGCTGGTAGGCAGCTTATGCTTCATTGGGGGTAACAGGCGTTAGCAAGTAAGTAAGTAAGTAATGTTTACTAAAAACCTGACTGGTAGTCAATGTAAGATTAGTGTCGTAGAACATGGTTGTTTGATCTATTTTTTGTACTATGTCTATACCTCCTCATCTTACTTCCATCAAGCCATACATGCCTATGTGTGGTTTCTGAACTACAAATTGCTCCATAGTAAGTCAAGGTAAACTCAGTTACATATACATCATTTCAAATAACGAAGGTTTCTGAATACAATCTGTTATCAACCAACGATCATCAGTTTACAAACAAAGTATTTTTCTTTTATAAAACACCAAGAGTATTCTGATTTAAAATAGGCGACCTATCTTTGAGTTAAGTTGATTAGAAATTAACTTATTCAGGTTCTGATATTATGTGGTTTAAATAAAATCGGCGGAAATCACTTGACCTATGTTTTTGTCAGGATATTCATCCAACATCGTAAGAGAATTATTGGTCAATTCCTATTGGTTAGATATCAATGTCACGTACTCCAATGTTGTTTCTTATTGGTCGTCCAGACTGTCAATGCCACAGAATGTGATGCTGTTTCATATTCGACCTAAATCTATAAATACGCATTATCTGTAGCGTTTTATGACTCGGATCCGGATCCTTAGTCCGGGGTATTGATTCTCTTCTGGACTCAGACCTCGTACTTCTGAATGCTTGTAGAATACAGGTTCTACTTCATATCAAGTCTTCATCTTTTTACTCACTATGGGGGTTGGGACACTCGGATTAGAGTAGCATGTCATGTCACCGGATCCTCGCTCTTGTTCACTGGATAGAATGAACTCTTAATGGTTCATGCATATCAAATGACGTGTTTACGTTCATAAGTAACAACTTGTTGATCATAAATAAATAACTGTTTAAATATACTTAGCAATATAAATAAACTACAGCTTAATAAATGATTAGTATTAAAAAATACGGTTTGTATTATCACACATGACAGTATCTAAATTGTGAGTAAAAATTGTTCATATTTTATTATTCATGACAATTTACCACTTCCTTCCCCCTTTCACAGTATCATACAAATACATCATCAGGTTTTAAATGATACAGACAAATAATTTTTTTAAAAATGTATACATGACTGTTCATTTGAATTGTTTCTGTTTTAATATATATATTTCGTACTATTTAATAACAAGAACACTTAAATCATTCACAGTATTGTTAATAATCCTAAACTTTCATTAGACACGTTTAACTTTAATTGGACTTTCTTAATGTTTTTACAATAATCACTAATTCTACACCAGAAATGATCAAAAAATATTTATAAATTGAGCATATTTAAATGAATTTTTCTACGTGTATTGTTTTTCACAAATAATTAAGGCAATGCAGTTGATAAATGAAACAGCTAAATTTATCAATAAGATAAAATTTGAAGCTTATAATACGGAGTGCAGTTTAATTGTTATGTTGTTTTCATTATGAATAACTGATGACTAGAAACTCAATTCTACAAAATTTCCGGTGAGAAAGAGCATGAACACTTCCTCTTTATACCAATATCCAAGTTTGCATGTTGTCAAAATACTATGTTCCCTCGGACAACCAGCATCTGCAGCGATGCTGCCATCCCACAAGGAAGAAAGAGTTACAAAAGGTCGGCCCTAAAAATGTCACACCTCCACTAACTCACGGATTTCCGTCTCCTTGGGTAAGGGTGCCCACTAAGGGCCTTTAAGAACGGAGCTAATCCTCTATAAACGTTTCATAAAAAGGCCGTGCGTGACCGCCCGCAAGCAGTTGTCCCTTGGGCTCTGCGGTCACGCACCCAGGTCTCTAAGACCAACACTAATCTATTTTCCCTTTCAGGTTCCTCAAGAAACAACCTTCCACGGTGTGGGCAGCCGGGAAGTGACAACCGCCTCATACCCGTAACAGCACGCGAGACCAAATTGGTCAAAATCAAATCCTTCCTACACCCACACATACCTCTCTTCTCTCCACAACTAACTCTTCTCACATTCATTTATCACAGT